CACTATACGCACCATACACTACACACGACAACTCACCTTTCACCCCACACTATACGTACTAACACTAAACACACCATGCACTACTCACCACACACGACACTCGCGCCATACACCACGCAACACACACCACACACGACCGAAAGGCTCACGAACCGCTGCCAGGCACCACGCACCGCTACGACACCCGCACCATGCACCACGCACCACACACCACACGCGACCGGAGGGCTCGCGAAACATTGGGAGGCGCGACGCAGGTGTCGTTATGCTGGCAGGCGCGACATTTAGGGACCCTGGACCGGTGCCGCGTGCGCTCGGGGGCTCGCGAAATATTGGCAGGCGCGACACAGGTGTCGTTTGTGCTGGCAGGCGCAGCATTTGGAGACCCTGGAGCGGTGCCGCGCGCACTGGGGAGGCTCGCGAAACGTTGGCAGGCGCGACACAGGTGTCGTTCGTGCTGGCAGGCGCAGAATTTAGGGGTCCTGGACCGGCGTCCCGCGCGCGCGCTCGGTGGCTCGCGAAACCTTGGTAGGCGCGACGCAGGTGTCGTTTGTGTTGGCAGGCGCAGCATTTAAAGGCCCTGGAAGTGTCGTTTGTGCTAGCAGGCGCAGCATTTAGGGGCCCGGGGCCCTAGGCGGCGGGCGCGACGCAGGATTGTACTGGTGGGCGCAGCATTTAGGGGCACCGGTCCATCCCGCGCGCGCTCGGGGGCTCGTTTCTCGTTGGATTGCACACCTATAATCGCAAACTGAAGTCCGGACACGCAGAACCGTCGCCTTTTTCTCATGTCGAACACGCAACTCAACGCACTCGTCAAACTAATGCTGGACCGTGTTATGTCCATCGAGCAACACGGTGCGGAGTCGGAGCGCGTCCTGACGTGCTGGTACGAAAACTGCCGCTGCAACTTGACGTTCGGGTTGCGTTGAGTCGAGACATGCCTTGCCAGCTTTTCTGACTTCGGCGACTCCCACAGCCATTTCGTCTTACGATCAGTGTTACTTCCGATTTGTTTGTCTTGCTGCTGTTTTGGTAGGTCAGAGATGCCGTTTGAGCGGCACCATGGTCAGTGACGTATTTTATATTGGCGTCGGACCCGGCACGTGGTGCGACAAAGCATGTCATGACGCGCCGGTACAAGGATTGTACCTTCGCAAAGGCGAAAAGCAATTGTGAGGTCCTGGTCGAGAGATCGAGATGTCTGAAGAGACGGAAGATACATAATAATTTTCTGTGTTGCTGTTATTCTCGATTTCTAGCGTGTCGCTTAGGGGTCAGCCTTCCTCTTGCAAATGTTGCTTTTGTGATGCCGAAGGTGTCGCTGCAGCAGCACCATGGTGAGTGGCGTGCGTTTTTTTACACCATGCCACGTGGTGCGAAGAAACATATCTTGACGTGCTGGCACGAGGACTGCATGCCGCAACAACTTGATGATCGGTTTCTCGATTTATGTTGCGTCGAGATCTTACTTGTTATCTTCACGCACGTTGGACAGTTCCGTAGCCACTTCGTGTTCAGAGCAGCATTATGCTCACATTTCATACGTCAGGTCAGCTTTTCGTATAAGTATCTGCGATGCCGTTACTGCCGAATTAGGTGGCAATTTTCTTCTCGGAAGCGCCGTCTTTGCCAGATACTATGGCAAGTGGCATGCGCATCTCCGCAAAGGCGGCCAACAAGTGCGAGGTCCTGATCGATAGACGTCATATGAGGTAGCTAATGATCTGACGTATTTGCAGGAAGCCTGGCAGGAAGGTCTGGCCGCTCTTCAGGCAAGGGCGAATGCAATGACGGCAGCAGCCGTTTCCGGCGTTCAACACAGATGAAAAGGCAATCCGATTTGTGATTGATACCATATCTCAATGGCTGAGACAAGGGTACTACGACAACCTGTCTCGCGCTACACCAGCCGCGCGGGCTTTGGCGTCGAACGTTTGGCAATGGAAGCTCTTGCGGAGTAACCGGACGCCCAATGACTCCACGATTTCGGCATGCATTTTCGCTTGGACTATGGCAACCGTCCTCTACATACATCTGGCTTGGATAGCATCCGTGCTTATATTGGACTGAGGAATCTTGGCAATTCCTGCTAGCTGAATTCTGTGTTGTAGTGCTTCTATGGCTGCGGACCTTTGCGTGAAGATGTTGCCAGGCATTCATTCCCAAGGGTCCTTTCGCTGTGCGCATGCAGCAACACCTATCGGGGAAGAATGGACAATGGGCTTATTTGTAGTCTGCAACAATATTGCATCAGCCCTTCCTCACCGATGAAATTGCTTTTCAGCCCGGGGAGTCCGCCGATATTTTCGACTACTGTCATCTGCTCTTGGGCTCTTGCTTCTCTCATATTGGATTATTTCTGGAACTTCCTGACCGTCGAGGCGGGTCTAGCCAGTGATTGCAGCAAGAACGCGTTGGTGTTGCAGCGCTGAAATGATACTGTTTCTAAATAGATGGCAGATAGATATACGTACATGGCTAGTATTCATATGGTATCCGGAATTCCTAGCCCACCGGGTAAAAGCGGCGCGATCATCGCCTGCAAAGGAACCGGCTCAAGCTTGAGATGTAACAAGGCTCGGCTGTCAACAATATGCTTCTCTTGCCTTTCAGGTTCTTCGATCTCATGAACAGGAGACGCATCATTGCATCCTTGATCCGTGCCATTTCTTTGGGTAAGCAGTTGCTGTATGACATCAATCAACTGATCAACACGAGGCTCGGTAACGGTTGCAGGAGGGCAAGGGGCTGACTCATTGACAACTTGCGGCAATGAAGGCGCACCTCCATTGTCCTCATTAGAACCGATATGTACCCAACATTACCCAACTAGACCCACCAGAGCAAGCACTTGATGCAATCGCCGGCGGCACATCTTGCTGGCGCTTAAAGCAGCCTGACGGAGTCTCTGAATCTCGCGGTCTTTGACTTACAACTCAACTCGTAGCTGGGTGTTTTGGAAGTTCAGCAGGTTGTTATCACCCCGGCAGCTGGTTAGGGCGGCTTCAAGCTCTTGGTACCCTGCACGAGCGACCTGAAGTTCTGCTTCGATCTTGCTTAGCTCGGCCTTAGCTACAGAGAGCTGTTCTTCCAAAATCCGACCCTGTTGAAGGATCTCATCATAACGACGTTCGTACTGTTGCAACTGCTCACGCATTTGCTCAACGGTGGCTTCAACCAAACCTCCAGCCTCATTCTCAACTTGCTCTAGCCTTACGGCATGTAGCTGTTCAGCATGATCAGCTACCTGCTGCGCTGCTTGCGCTGCGGCCAAACGTTGGGCATCTAGAACTTCTTGCGGGGATGCGCATCCCTACATTCAGGATGTTCTGTGTGTATGAGGCTTGAGCGGTTAGATTAGGGTAAGGGCTTGAGTGCTCATGAGCTCTGCGAGGTCCAGGCAAAGCTCGTCTAGTCAGAGGAGGGGACCTTTCACGGACTTCAACCGCAGAACTACTCGCAACCGAACCACTATCTGAACCAACACCACCCGGCAATGCCATGGCTGAAGCACTTGACAAATCAAGCACCGAGCTAGCTTGGTTGCGAGGGTCAGAAGGGGAAGACATGGCGGAAGAAAGACGGAAGCGCCTGGCAGCAGCTTAGCACACCCTTTTCACGCAAACGAAAGTGCTTTGTTGTAACTGCAGTGCTCACGGTGTTGGCGCTAAAAGCAGCCCGGCCAGCGACACGAGGAGTGCAAGTCAATCGCGACGGATCGATCCACTCTGTGATCGCACTTTCGGCTTCAAAAATGTTCGCGTAAGAACGACCCAGTGGACTACGATCTCTCTTAGGAAGGCAAATGTGGAAAGCCTGCTGAATGCGGCGGATCCACTCTGTGACAACCTCAGTATTGTCGTCCACGATTAGGTGTTCTGCGGATGGAAACACCTGTGTCGCCAAGCTGAGCTTCCCGTAGTCTCCAGTACGCGATCTGCTCACGACTATCAAATCGAGCAAATTCTGACCAGAAGTGTCGCGGACTTCCTCGACAGTATTGGCGATAACGTCGCGAAGCCACGCCTCGTTGGCCTTGGAGCTGTCAATGTGTGACAAGACACACAAGCACGTGCGACAACGAGCGTCCACCTCGGAGATGACGACCCCAAGTCTCTTGATAAGGCTTGTCACTTCTTGCAGCAACGTAGGGTGATTATTGGGCCACTGGATATCAAAACGACGCGGTTCACAAAGTAGCGGTCAATCGTATTGTGAAAATCCAGCCAAACGACACGTTGAACCGCAAGGCGAACGGAGTCTGCGATGAACACTTTGCGGTTGGTTGCAGCGTTGAGAAACAGCGACCGATTCCCAAGAGCCGCTGAGTCAATCCCTGGCCCCCTTTCTTCTTCCTCTTCTTCAATGACCACGACGGGAGGCGGTGGTGGCGATTTGGGAACAGCAGGCCTTGAACTTGAAGAACTGAACGCCGTCAATGGAGGAGGTGCCCTCGCTGAGGGTGCGGTTGGAGAAGAAGGCCTTGCCTTCGAAGTAGTCGCCTTGGGAGGAGGAGGAGCTTGGAGACGACTGAAGCTTGGGGTAGATGCAAGAGCTTTTGGAAGCGCAGGTCTTGGAGCACGCCCCTTTGGCGGAGTAACAGGCGCACTTGAAGCAACGGAATCCAAAGGCGGAGTCTTCGGCTCAGGAATAAAATCGTGACTTGAAGCTGCAGAAGAGACCTGATCGTCCTCGTCGAGACGGTCGGTTTGTCTTGTCTGCGTGGACGATGTAGATGATGGTCAAATGACAAGTCAGGATTCAGCTCAAGCACCCACCTAATGTACGCGTTCCTCTTGCGCTTCGCTGCCTTCCCTGCTCGAATGCCACGAGTGGCCTTTGGCCGAGGGAGAATCTCAGGAGGCGCGGGCTCCGAACGGTCCATCCAGTTCACTCAGCTACACTTAGGGTCTTAGAGCAATGAACGCAATACGGCTGATAACCAGTTGAAAGACTCAAACCTCTGATGCCTGAGCTTAGGGAACAAGGCAACAAGAGGAAGAACCTCAAAGGGTTAGGGAACAACACAGCCCTCAACCCTGAGTACAAGCCGCTCTCAGAGTGGCCCTTTTTCATCTTGAGCCAAAATGGTAACAGTAGGCTCTTGTCCTGCTCTGCATAACATGACTCTACAAGGAGGATACCCGTAAATTCACAACTATGTTGTATGTTGGCTTGTACTTGTAGGGCAACCCTGGCCGCTTTTTTTACCGGTGCCGCGACGTGAGGGCAATTGAGGGAAGGTTAGGCTCGCGGCCTGTGCTGTACACTATGCAAACGTGCCACAACCGTGATCGATTGGACATTTCCCAAACTGGGGGGGGGGGGGGGGCTACCCCTAATAAAGTATGCCACCAAATACGATATTTCTTACTTGGAAGCTGCAAAGTGTACCCCAATTCTGGGAGATCTCCGAAATGGCACCAAATCTTGTGTCTTCAGGGTGCTGCAGCACAGCTGCAGACTGGGCGGCAGCCCGCAAAACTCAAGCGCCTAGCTCCTACACTGGAGCCTCGCAGGCCGCCCGCAGAAGACATGAACATCAGAAAAAAACGGGATGTTGTGTGTGGCAGCACCTGTGACCACAGCCTAGAACTTATAAGGGGAGTCTCAGAAACGCGGGGAGAAACATCCACATTCTCCTCAAGGCCACGAGGCATCGTAGGGCCACACTGAGAACACCCCTTGACTTGCAGAGTTCGTGCAGCAAGTTGGCAGGCTGAATTCCGTGGACTCCCTCGCCCTGATGTTGCAGAGTCCCCCCGCATTCCCTGGAATTGAACACCCCAAGGCTAAACGGTAAGTAAGGCGAGCTTTCTTGACAAAAGCCATTACTGCAGAATTTAGGCATATCTTGCCGTTTTGCCCGTTCAGTACGATGGGCAAGGGATTCAAGGTGTCCTTGTCTTAACGGGCCGTTTTTGGAGGACGTATGCTGACCAACAGCTTCAGGGCCATGGCACCTGCATCGGAAGCACCATGGGCCGCTGAGTGCCTATCAGTCGCTTCGTGGCCTCCGCCAGCAAGGACACATCGTGCAGCGCATCTGATAAGTTCGCCGTTAGCACATGCTGGAGTTTCAACTTGAGCTTCTCCCTCCAAGGATTTCAAGGGACAGGTGCCCTTGCAGCCTTGGCAGCCGATATCAGCCGATCCTTCTGGCCAATACCTCAGAAGGTCGGGCAAGCACCGCCCATCGCCGACAGGCTGCCATATCGTAAGGCCAAAAGGAACGCGGGCGCTCTGTGGGAAGAAGAAGGCATCGGGAAATGTAGGGAAGCTCAAAGCTTCAAGGCAGAGTACAATCTGTGCCAAAGTGGAGAGCGCCCTTGGCTTTGCAGGGCAAAGCTCATGTGCCTTACACGCAAAAGGTGGCATCCGACAGTCGATGAAATGCAGACTGCAGATTTACATGGGCCAGCCTTTACAGAGAGTGAATGGCCAACAGGGTACGAAACTCAGCCCTCTCGCTGATTGGTACATATACAGCGGAGAACTAGGAGGGAGAAGCGTCGTCTTTCTCTTGGGTTTGAAGCATTTGTACCTGCTGTCAAATAGCCCAAACCTCTAGCCCACATAGCTTAGCCAGACAAATGCAGACACTGCTCACCTTGACTTCCAGCACATGGCAACGGCTGGCTTTGATGCTTGTCTATTTGCTTGGGAGGACGTGTGCTGACTGGCTGCTTCACTGCCTACCAATCGCGTCATGGCCTCCGCAAGCACAAAAGCTGAAGAGAGCAAACTAGTTGCAGTCTGTATGAGGGCTTGGCACAGTAAAACATTTTTGGAGCACCATCGCTCAAAACCTGTCTTCTCTGAAGGGCGCGAATCAAGCGAGGTGCTCGCAGCCTGGGCCTCCGATCCAGCGCAAGCAGGCCGTTGACGGCTGACTGCTCAGCAGCAAGACGGCGACGCCGTAGGGCAGGCATAGAGTGGGAATTTCTAAGACCAAAATTGCCATGATTGAGCTGGGACTCCACTCCTCAGGTCCACACGCGTATGCAGGCAGCCTACTCGCTCAGAACACTAAGCCAAAGCATCACATGTGGGCCGGCACTCACAGCACCCAAACTGACATACCACGCAAGTACTAAGAAAAGGGAATCGAGGTCGAGGCTCCTTCTTCCGCCTCTCGACATCCGCCTTCTGCCGCGGGACCAGGGGAAGCGCGCACATGCCGAGCAAGGAAGCGCCGTAGGCCAGCGCAAAGGACAAAGCCACCGTGGTCCGGAATGCAGGTGTGTCGGTCACGTAGTTCTCCAGCTTGGACAAGGAGGGCTTGAAGAGACCAAAGACTTGATTGCTCAAGGCCGTGGAAATTGGCAAGCTTGCATGCTGCACGGTTCCAATCAGGCCAAAGCAAAGACCTTCCTGTCCAGGCTCCGCAAGCTCAATGACCATGAGGCTGTAGATCAAGGCAAGTGCCGTCGTAGGCACTGCGCTGAGAATATCCTCACCAAGGAAGAAGTATTGATTGCGGACCACATCGAAGATTGTAAGAAAGGTCGGAATGGAATCTGACACTGTCACTAAGACCGTGGCGATGAAGATAGCCTTGCGCCAGCATGTCTGGAGGAGGTACCTGAAAGCGGACCGGGGTTGAAATCTGAAACGCTAGTGTTTCAATGCTTATGCGTCTTCTGAGAAGATACCAGTAGCCCTTGTTGACTTCTTCAGAAAGCGCTCACAAACATGCCCAATGTGGACCTGGGAACACCTTGTAGAACCAGGTGGCCGCCATCATGACAAGCATGCTGCCCATGACAAACAGCTGCTGCTGCAAGACTCGGACCCCTGCCCACTGGCTGCGGACCAGAGGTCCTGCGGTGGTGGAGATAGAGTTGAAGAACTGGGCGACGAAGGCAAACAGCAGAACGGTCGAAAATCCTTTGCTCTTGACCAGGTTCCTGAGTTTGCTGAGACACAAGTTTCCTTGGGACAATTTGGCTGAGGCGAACTTGGTAAACATGGCAGTAGTGCCCAGAGAGCACAGCAGATGGCCGAATGCAACAAGAAAGTGGGTTGGGCGGGGGCTTGCTAACAATGTCGCAGCTGATGCGGGCAAGCTTCCAAGAAGACTTCACATGGCCGATGCACGATGGCCTTTTGAGCTTCTTGGGCTCTTGGACGCAGAACAAGGAGATGGGGATCCTCGGGTGCTCTTGGAATGGTTTAGGGCTTAGGGCTTAGGGCTTAGGGCTTAGAGCTTGGAGCTTAGGGTTTAGGGTTTAGGGTTTAGGGTTTAGGGGTCAGGGTTTAGGGTTTTCAAAGCTCCATGAGACTCTGAACAGCAAGAACCTGCATTATACATACCATGCATGAACATATTGCCAGGAAAGGTCTGGGATCAAGCAGGTGGCCAGCACCAAACACAATGCCGTAAAGCCTCTGAAGGACAAGCCCCAGTCGAACGTGCCCAAGTACTCCTTCTTGTTTAGGAAGACACCAACGACGGCCGAGGAAACGAGAGAGCCAGCCATGGTGACGATTGTGAACTCCGCCTTCATCTTGCCACGGCACTGTATCGGCTCGAGCTGGGAGTACTCCAGCAAGAGGCCCTCGCCAGCCACGCATCCCAACTGAACGCCCGCAACGAGGATGAACAGCGGGAACACATACCAATTCTTGTCAGCATGGATGCTGGGATTGCATGGTGGTCTCATCGTGTCGTAGCTGCCATCAGGGTTTTGGCAGTAGTATGGCGCAGGAAGCGGCCGCAAGCTCATGACCAAGAGCGCACTGCCACATATGATCCAGGATGCCACGAAGTAAGGCTTCCGGTTGTAACCGAAAATGGGGAGGCAGTCCGTCAGCATGCCGAACGGGAGAAGGAACACTTGCGGGAGCTTCATGAGGGCGGCAATGGACATCAAGACGTACGAGTCCAAGCCCATGTAGCCAAGGAAGAACCCGTACACAATGCTTGATGCGGCCGAGTTCAAGAAGGCAAGGAAGAAGCCCCCCAGTGGGAGACCGCAGGTGCGCCACGTCCAAATGCTCGGGCAGTTGGCGCATTTGCTGCAACATGCCTTGCCAGGAAGATGTGCGGAATGATGATGCGCGCCTCCACGGCAGCCCGACTCCTTCCATGTACCCAGTACCCTCAAACAAGGCATGCAATTTCGGCTCACCTTCAAACGTTCCTTAACCAGGGCTGTGGAAGTAAGCAGTGGTTGAGGGGAGTCTCAGACCAAAACCAGCTAACCCCAACCCCTAAACCCTAATTAAACCCTAAAACCCTACCTGATTCTCCAAGTCGTGCTTGCTCGAAGGCTGGATCACCACGGAAACATTCTCCGGGCTCGTGGCCTGAAGCTTCTTGCAACTCTGGGTCTGAACGCTAAAACCCTACACCCTAACCGCGCCTAAACCCCCCTAAACCCTAATAACCCCCTAAACCCTAATAACCGCCTAAACCCTAAACCCCCTAAACCCTAAACCCTAAACCCACTAAACCCTAAACCAACTAAACCCACTAAACCCTAAACCCTAAACCCTAAACCCTGAACCCTAAACCCTAAACCCTAAACCCCTCCTGGCCTGAAGCTCCTTGCAAGGTGAGCTCTGGGTCCTGGCCATGCAGGGTTCAGGGATGGATCTTGGGTTACCAGAACCATTAGTTGCAGCCCTAAACCCTAAACCCCAAACCCCAAACCCCAAACCCTAAACCCTCAAAATAAATGGAAATTGTATGCGGCATCATTCTGAATGTTTGTCCAAGCTCTTGGGCCTTCCACCCCAAAGAATCCCAAGCGGCCAACCAGGGCCGGAAGGCCAACTAACATACGCATTAGGTTCTAAAACAGGAACTTTCGCTCAAAACTTATTGGGACCCCCTCCCACCTCCCCCGTCACCCCCCTTGCCCCCTAACCTAGTATCTAAAACAAGAAGTTTCGCTCAAAACTTTCGCTCAAAGCTTTCGCTCAAAACTTTTGGGGTCCAAACCCTATACAATTTCTATAAACCCTGAACCCTAAACCCGAAACCCCAAACCCTAAACCCCAAACCCGAACGCTAAGCAACTTCGGATCCACCCCTCCTCTCTGGGCTCCCCGTGCCAGCACTGCCAGACCGATGCTCGCTGGAGATGGACGACTCCTCGGGTTTAGGGTTTGCGTCTAGGGTCTAGGGTCTAGGGTCTAGCGTCTAGGGTCTAGGGTCTAGGGTCTAGGGTTTAGGGTTTAGGGTTTAGGGTTTAGGGTTTAGGGTTTAGGCTCCTCATCCACGAAAAGAACTGGACCCGTCATGGCTCCTCTACCGAGTAGATTCTGTATAAGGGCTCAGCCACTCCTCTCTTCAGCACACAAACCTTGGAGCCAAGCAATGCACGGCACAGCGTCGGCTTCGTGACAGACGATCAGTGGCTCTGCAGCTGACTCACGCGCAGCCGGCTCATGAATTCGATATCTTCCGCTGTGCTTCGTAGCCCTTTGAAAGCCGTTGCTAAGCTAGAAGATGCCAGAAGGCTGGAGTCTATACAGCACCTATTCCACTCAACACCTGACACAGCCCAGACTCCAACATTGGCGACATCAAGCCCTAAAACGCGTGTAGGTGAGTATGCTCGACCGCCCGAGTCGCAGGCATGCATCGGGTTTCCTGATTTCCTTTTCCGTGCGCTTTTCCCTAACCGATGCCAAGCGATGACGTCTTCCAGGCACCCTTGGAGAGCCCACTATAGGTTTGCGTTTAGGGTTTAGGGTTTAGGGTTTAGGGTTCAGGGTTTAGGGTTTAGTGGGTTTAGTTGGTTTAGGGTTTAGTGGGTTTAGGCTTTAGGGTTTAGGGTTTAGGGTTTAGGGTTTAGGGTTTAGGGTTTAGGGTTCAGGCTTAAGGGTTAAGGGTTTAGGTTTAGGGTTTAGGGCTTAGGGTTCCTGGTTCTTTCAGGCTTACTATTCATCAACTGAAGCTGGGAACTCATACTAGGGACCCCTAGAAACACTGGGCGCCTTTTGTAGGGCTACTCTGGGCTCGCCGGGCTCAACATATGCCTTCGGGTCTGAGGACGTGTCCCTCAGAGAACCAGGATGGGCCACTGCACCCCCTGATCCCTTAGAAGGGTTCATTTTAGAGGGCTAGGGGCTTCAGGGTTCAAGGGTTTATAGGGGTTCATAGGGGTTTATAAAGGTGTAGGGCTTCGGGTTATGGAGTTGTATAGAAGCCCTAATGGCCCATCCAGGTGCCAGTAGAGGCCTAGGAAGGCGGCAACATCCAATCCTCAGCGCCAGCGTTGGGTGCCAATGGGATGGTGAGGACGAAGAAGGCGCCCTGGGAGGCACAAGGGTGTCGCCTCTCACACTCGCACAGAGGGTTTAGGGTTTAGGGTTTTAGGGTTTAGGGTTTAGGGTTTAGGGTTTAGCGTTTAGGGTTTAGGGAGCTTGGGGAAGCCCCCGAGGGTTTTCCTCAACAAAAACCCACCTTGAGCTGCGAGAAGGAAGATGGTGCTTAAGCAAAGGGGGGGTTCCATTCAGGGACTGTGGCCCAAAAAGACCATTGACTACTGAGCAGCGAGGAGACTGAGCCTGTACCTGCGCCGGGCTTGCGGATAGACTTCTCGCACAAACTCGGATTCACACACTGATCTTAAGGAAACAAAAACACAACAATGAACACAGCAATTATCGTCATAATCATCATCATATCTTGCACGGCTGGCGAGGCTTCCTAACCCTAAGCCCGAATCTCGAGCACCCCATACCTCAGTGGTTTTTCGTGGGGCATAAGTGTATATATATATATGTGTGTATGTATGTATGTATGTATGTATGTATGTATGTATGTATGTATGTATGTATGTATGTATGTATGTATGTATGTATGTATGTATGTATGTATACATAAGTTTATACATACACACACACATACGTACATATATATATATATATGTATGTATGGTACCCCCCCCCCCCCAAAAAAAAAAAAAAAACACACCTTTTTTACCACTTTTTTTCAAGGAGACAACACAATGAAACAATGCAGTCTGCTTCTCCGATTCATCTGCTCCTCAACTTCACAAACTCACAATGAACTCACAAGAACTCACAAGTGCAACTCACAATGAACTCACAAGTGCAACTCACAATGAACTCACAAGTGCTTCATAACAAATATGACTTCTGTGTTACAGCCGTTTCAATTGAAACGGCCGACGTTTCAATTGAAACGGCTGGCATCCAAGATCCAAGATCCAAGATTTTGAGGGGCTATTGGAAATGCATCTTGAAACCGCCGACGTTTCAATTGAAACGGCTGGGATCCAAGATCCAAGATCCAAGATTTTGAGGGGCTATTGGAAATGCATCTGGGAATCCTATATCTTGGATCCCAGCCGTTTCAACTGAAACGGAAACGTTTCAATTGAAACGGCCGGGATCCAAGCTAGATTAAGATTCAAGAATCAAGAGTCCTGGGCATCTTGGTTCTTGGTTCTTGGTTCCTGGGGGGGGGGGGTCTGAATTTAACCTAATTTTAAAATGCAGTTTTAAATGCTGCCGCAAGAACCAAGATCCAAGAATCAAGAGTCCTGAGCATCTTGGTTCTTGGTTCTTGGTTCCTGAGGTCTGCCCGCATTTAACTTACATTTTTAAACGCAAGTTTAAATGCAGAAAATCCTAAGCCCACCATCTTCAACACTCCGTACCAAAATATGGGAGTCACGGACTCATTTCCTCTCCATGCTCTGGCTCTGGGATTTCCCGACTCATTTACACCACAACAAATTCATTGACCCACTGGCGCATCAACCCACACTCTTTTGCCCACTCAACCATTGCTTACAAGCATTACGTTTACTTATAAACAGGGGGTATGGGGGGAGGGGGAACAGGGAGGGTACCAGGGGTCTCCCACATACCCCTGAACACCTCCCTTCCCTCCGCAGCACTGCGGGCTTATTCTCTAAAATTCTATTGGCTACGGGTTTAGGGTTTTAAAGAGAAGCCCCGAAACCTTTTCGGGTTAAGCAATTAAAATTAAACCAAAACCCTGAATTTAACTTTTGAACCCTACATGATTAAGGTTTAAAGGTTTAGGGTTGAATATTTAGGCATTTAAATATCGGTCGGCAATTAAACCTAAACCTTTAACCTTTGAACCCTATAGTTTAATGTTTAAAGGTTTAGAATTTGAGATTTAGACATTTAAACCTAAGCCCCTAGAGTCCAAAACTGAGGATTTAAGGTTTAGGCATTTAAACCTTAACCCTAAACCCTTTAGGGTCTGAACCCTAAAACCCCATAGGGCCCAAAAAAGCTCAACGTTTTCAACCCCACAGGAGCTGAACGTATACATGCCCCGACCTTAGGTTTGTAAATCAGTAAACACTATAGGGTAAAGGGTGTTTTGAGGGTTTATCTCTAAAACCCTCACGCGGTTAGCCCTTTCGGGTGTAAACCCTATAGGGTTTACAGGTTTCGGGTTCAAGATGTAGACATTACCTATAGGAGCCTTATCACCCTGTGATTTAGGCATTTAAAGCGAAGCCCATAGAGTTCTAACTTTAGGGCTTTAGGTTTAAGATTTAGGCATTTCAACCTTAACCCTAAACTCTTTAGGGTCTGAACCCGGAGCTGAAGGTGTACATGCCCAGACCTTAGGTTTGTAAACCATTAAACCCTAGAGGGTGTAAAGGTGTATGGTATGTTGAGGGTTTATCTCTAAAACCCTCACGGGGTTAGCCCGATAGCGTTTCAGCCCTATAGGAATTACAGGGTACTGGTTTATCAAGGTTTGGGCATTGCCTATAGGAGTAGAACCTTGAACCCTGAAGGGCTTAAGGCTTCAATCCCTAAACTTAAATCCCGTAAGGTTATTCCTATGTTTGCTGGGCTTGCCTCCTGTGAACATGCAAAGAGAAAGTAGAACAAGTACCCACATGGCCACATGATGTATGTATATAGGGTATATGCATTGTATATCAAACACAGACAATGGAGAAGGCATAGGGTGATACAAAAAACACATCTGCTGCAAGTTCCCGGAACGCGAGAATACTGTGAGTGGGTATCTTTTCACTATTCCCTGAGATCTTCCAACAGGCTGCTAGTAATTGCTCGCAAGTATCTAGCTGTTCATTCTCACAAGCCCATAAGGTCTTATATGATACTCGTCCAAAGCAACTGCGTATGACATCCTTACTACAAAAGTATTGTTGTTCAGGATGTTTCAGGCTTGTGTACGTCTCGTAAGCAGAAATGATATAGCATGCTACGGGTACTGTGCCACGGGAACTGTGCTGCTATATCTGAATAGAGCGAGGATTTAGGCTTGTGAGTTGAAGGGGCACGCAAGCCAGCAGGTTTTGTGTAGATACTTTTCTGATACATTTTTGCTTTTCAGGTTGCTTCAGGTGGTTGTGCGTCTCGTAAGCAGAAAGGATATAACATGCTACGGGAGCTGTGTTGTCTATTGCAAGTCTCTAAAACGGTGGATCTTTGAGGGGGGGGGGGGGTAGCATATATATATATATATACATATATATATATACATATATATATACATACATATATATATATATGTATATATCTATATCTTTCTGTCTGTGCGTGTGTGTGTGTGTGTCTCTCTCTCTGTGTTCAGGGGTGATAAAGTGTACCTAACCCCTTATAGCTTTATTCGACCCTTTATTCCCTACTCGGAATCGGCAAGGCTATGCAAGGCTGTCTTCTGGCAGGATGCAACCAGTGCCAGGGCGAGTCGGCAGACGAACCGCTGACATCGGCTGCCTTTTAGTGGCATGGCTGCAGCCCAAAGCAACACTAAACCCTAAACCCTAAACCCTAAACCCTAAACCCTAAACCCTAAACCCTAAACCCTAAACCCTAAACCCTAAACCCTAAACCCTAAACCCAAACCCCTAAACCCAAACCCTAAACCCTAACCCTAAACCCTAAACCCTAAACCCTAAACCCTAAACCCTAAACCCTAAACCCTAAACCCTAAACCCTAAACCCTAAACCCTAAACCCTAAACCCTAAACCCTAAACCCTAAACCCTACTAAACCTAAACCCTAAACCTAAACCCTAAACCCTAAACCGCAAAATTAAGGAAGGCACCTGCCAAGTTCATGAGTTCCTTAAATAGGGGGGGGGGTTTCCCGGCACCAGACCAAACCTATCATCGGAGGGAGTTGGGATGTAGGTGGCACGGTGCACCAGTTCTGCGCGCTTTCTGCCCCAAACCCTAAACCCTAAACTAAAGCCTAAGCCAGGGATCCTTGCATGCCACGTCCAGCGCGCAGCTCCAGCTGAAAAAGAGTGATCACTCGCATCGCCAGCGCAAGCATCACCAGCTGCACATCCGTGTGCAAGAAGATGTAGGAATGCTTCATGTCCTAAGCGCATAGCTTCGGGTTTAGGGTTTAGGGTTCAGGGTTTAGGGCTGAGGGACGGTTGAAGAAGCAAGACTCCTAAGCGCTTACTGGATCTTAGGGTTTTGAGTTTTTTGGTGTAGGGTTTAGGGTTTAGGGTATCGATCACAGAGGGAATGAAGGACTTAGGTACCCCAGAGGCCCGTAAAAGGGTGTATTTGCCGGGGGGGGGGGGGGGGGGAAGAAGGGAGGGGGATGTTTAGGTACGCACTTCCCTCATTCCCGAAAAGATGCCTAAACCCTAAGCCCTAAACCCTAAACTCTAAACTTTAGACCCTAAACCCTAAACTCTAAGCTTTAGACCTTAAACCCTAAACCCTAAACCCTTAGATAAAGCTGCGGCGCCGCCATGAAGGTGGTCAAGCCAGTCACGGTGCCGAACACACCCACGGACTTGCCATGCGAAGCTGGGAGGTGGCAACCTTGGGCGCGAGGGTTGAGGGTTTAGGGTTTAGGGTTTAGGGTTGAGGGGGTTTTTTATGGGGTTCACAGGGTGTTTATGGGGGCTCTTGTAGTTCTTATCTTGATTTTTTTCATGGGGCTTTTTACATGGTCTAGCATTAAACCCAGCCTTTGCCGCTGCCCTCATGGGCGCAGCCATGACAGCCGGGGTGCCGGTCTTTGATCTCTTGGCATTTAGGGTTTAGGGTTTAGGGTCCCATGCAAGCAAGAAGGCACAAAGCAAGAGGCAGCTACCCAAGCCCTATAACCCGACGAAAGTCCGCCGATAAACCCTATCAACCCCATAAACCCTATAAACCCTGTAAACCTTCTACAACCAATTAAACCTTGTATAAACCCTTCCAAGCCCTAAAACCCTAAACGCCTCTGACCAGGAAGCTGACACCTTTCTTCTGCAAAAAGCCGTCGCACACAGCCTGACGCACAGGCCTTGGCTCCAGGGTTTTATATAGGGTTTAGGGTTTAGGGTTTTGGGTTTAGGGCTTGCACGAAGCAGGGTGTTGAGGGTTTTCAGGGTTCAGGGTTTAGGGATCTGTGACTTTACAACTCTCCAGATCTGTGTCGTCCAGCCTACAACATGCACAATCCTGAAGCGCGAAACCCCAATACCGTAAACTTCGAACCCTAAATCCCCAAACCCTAAGCACCAAACCCCAAACCCGAAACCCCAAATCCCTACACACAAAACCCTAAACCCCAAACATTAAACCCCAAACCCTAAACTGCAAACCCTAAACCTCAAAGCCTAAATCCCTAAACCCTAAAGCCTGAACCCTAAGCCCTAAATCTCCAAACCCCAAACCTGAACCCTAAATCCCAAACCCTAAGCCCCAAATCCCCAAACCCCAAACCTAAAACCTAAATGCCAAACCCTAAACCCTAAACCCTAAACCCTAAACCCTAAACCCTAAACCCTAAACCCTAAACCCTAAACCCTAAACCCTAAACCCTAACCCTAAATCACATGGACCTTGGGTGAAGCCAAAGAGGCGGCTCGAGACCCTCGAAGAGGTAGATGGGCAGTATCCGCTCCACCTTTTAGGGTTTGGAGTTTAGGGTTTAGGGCTAGGGTTTAGGGTTTAGGGTTTAGGGTTTGGGCTTTGGGGGTGTAGGGTTTGGAGGTGTAGAGGTTCTAGACCCCAGAGTAACCTAGGAATGAAATTGCCGTGCCCTTTCTGCTGTAGAGGGGCTAGTAAGGGATCCTAAACCATTAATAAGGGGAATAGGGGCCTACTCTGGGTTAGTTTTTGGATTTGGGGGTTTACCTGGGACTCTTACGGTCCCCGGAAGGGGTTTAGGGAATATGGGGTGTATACTCAGGATTTTAGGCTAGGTAGCCCAGTAACCATATCATAATAAGGGTACCCTTTTGGGGTTAGTTACTGTATAAGGGAACCTTGAACCCAAAAAAGGGAAAAGGTACCACTGGGCTACCACGTAGGGGTTTAAGGTTTCCGACGGCCGACTCACACGCTCACGCACGGCAGGCTTTTCTCTTGGCCGCCACCCGAGGTTCGTGCGGTTTTGGGTTTTTGGGGTTTAGGGTTTAGACGCTTTGTGCTTTTGCTTTTCCCGGAAAAAAACCCAGTACCAAGAAATAAATCAAGAAACCCCTGGAACTAGAATAGAGGGTATATGAACTTACGTCTACTCTTAATCAGGGGGTATTGGGCTCTCTTGTTGACACATAAACTATCACTATACATAAGCCCGACAAAAACGCAAGACCCTTTCTTTAAGGGGCTAGGAATGCATGTATTGGGTGGAATTCACGCGGCATTCTTCCACCGAACCATATAGAGAAAGGTACTCATTCGGCTCGTTGGCACAAATGCGGTTTAGGGTTTAGGGTTTAGGGTTTAGGGTTTAGGGTTTAGGGTTTAGGGTTTGGGTTTAGGGTTTAGGGTTTAGGGTTTAGGGTATACGGTTGTGGGGTTTTGGGGTTTTGGGTTTTGAAGCCCTTAGCCCCACTCTCGAGATCCCAAGCTCTCAAGCCTGTGCCGTGAAGCCGGGAGCCGAACTGCCCAAACCCTAAACCCTAAACCCTAAACCCTAAACCCTAAACCCTACACCCTACACCCTAAACCCTAAACCCTAAACCCTAAACCCTAAACCCTAAACCCTAAACCCTAAACCCTAAACCCTAAACCGTGGCCCAGAACAGCCAAGGCCAAAGAGGGACATGTGGGTGGGAGGGGGATAGGAAGCCTTTTCGCACCCTAAGTTCCGTAGGCTATACGGAATATCCTGCAACAGCGACGCGCCAAAAGTTGGATCATTTTCATCAACCCCCTAAACCCCAAACAGTTTTGAGCCACCCTACACCCTACACCCCAAACCCTACAGCAAGCAATTTGTCCCCGTGCACCGTGTAGAAGGACGGCGAGAGAATGAAAATCACCCATCCTGGCCATCAGCTTGGTTTTGCCAGCAAGCAGATTCTCAACTCACGTCTGGGGGGGGGGGGGCTGTTTGAAATTAGCGTACCTTTGGGCCTTTGCGGAATGGACACTCACAAGAGGTACCTGTGAAGGCCTATGTTGTTTTTGCCACCGCCCATGGTATAAGTCTGATTGTATGAGTAGTTCTCCAAATTAGGGTCCCTAAGGTTGCCGTACTACATAGGACCCCAAAAGGGACCCTAACCTAGATAATGCCTCGTATGGCGTCAGCCGCGGACGCCCGCTCGGGCAATCGCTCGGGCAAGAAGGGAAATGGCGGACGGTCCGCCATTGCAGCAAACTGCCGAAACTGGCTGAAACTGGGTCGACGTAAGGAAAATCTACTGAACACCTCCGCGCGACCTGGCTCTCGACCTGGCTCGACCTCTGCTCGACCTTGGCTCGACCTTGGCTCGACCTCAACACCACGAAGTTACTGACGTTTTGCAACTTTCCAAACAAATGCAGAAAGCGATTTCAGTCCGCAACATCACAGATCACGGTCCTTGGCGAATCCTAATGGTCGGACCGGAACTCTGACGCTGATATTGGGCAAAGGTTTGGGCCCCTTTTTGTGTCGCCACCCCAAACCCAAACAAACCCCAAACCCCCAAAACACACACACAAAACCCTCAGTCCCAGCTCAAGTCCCCGCAGACCCCGGCCTATGCCGCACAGCGCGCTCTGCACCTCTCCGAAAGCGATGAGGTCGACTCCAGAGCAAAGCTGGGCGACTACCAGCAGCAGCCTGGGGATATCAGACTAGAGTTTAGGGTTTAGGGTTTAGGGTTTAGGGTGGGAGTGGTTAGTATGGGGGCCTTAGTACTTAGAACAGGGCTTTGGGTTCAGGATTTTCGGTTTAGGGTTTAGGGCTTAGGGTTTGATATAGGGGCCTTAATGATTAGAATTGGGGGGGGGGGGTATTGTAGTATATTGATAAAGGGGCCAAAAGGGAATACTATTTCAAATTATTCCGACCCCTGTCTTGAGCCGATGCTTGTTGTGTGGAGTGGTTGGCTCATCGGTTTCCAGAGGTAGTGTTTCCGGATGGGGTTGCAACTTCAGCGCTCGATGCAGAGCTCGCGCTTGCGGTTGAAGTGCTAGTTCCCGCAAAGCTCCTGGCCCTAAACCCTAAACCCTAAACCCTAAACCCTAAACCCTAAGCCCTAAACCCTAAACCCTAAACCCTAAACCCTAAACCCTAAACCCTAAACCCTAAACCCTAAACCCTAAACCCTATTCTAACCATTAAGGCCCCCATACTCACTCCCCGCAACATGATGGTCACCGTGGCGGTGCTCTGGCTCGGGAGGTTCACAGACAGAAAGAAGGACAAGCCGAAGGCCATGTAGCATTGCCTCAGTTGCCCTAAACCCTAAACCCTAAACCCTAAAACCCAGGCTCTCTCAGGTGAGCTGCCCCGTAGGCTCCTATACCCCCAGCACCGCAGGTCATGTCTATGGTTTCCAGGGCTTCAAGACTAGTAAAAAAGGTAACCCTAAACCCTAAACCCTACACCCTAATCCCTAAACCCTAAACCCTAGAAAAAAAAAGGTTTGAGGTTGTGGAGATTCTGGACATCCCACAAAGCTGGCGCTCGAAACTATCCAAGATACGCCACTGCCAGGCGAAGCAGTGTCCAAGGGCTTGCCACAACCTTCGAGAAGGGGCCATAGATGCCTGGCCGATGGTGCCACGCTCAAGCTTACTGTTGGTTAGTAGGGAATGAAGGAATGGGGGTACCCCATATGATTCCTTCAAGGGTGTAGGGTATCTCATTCCCTCATTCCCAACTAAGCAGCAGTAAGCAAGTGCAGCAACGATTCTGCATCACAACGTGCAAGTGAACATGGCCCAGTGATTCCGAAACCAACACTGCAGCTGCAACAAACTGCTGATGATGTATGCTGATGCATGACCTAGGACCTAGTTGCTGAGTACCCTGGTTAACCTTGCAGTTATGGTAGGATTATATACCCCACAAGGTTAAAGGCTACCTACTCAGCTACTAACATGATTTTGAAGACTGGCTGCCAGTCCACAGGATTGCGAAGACGAGTAGTTCCGCGAAGTGGCACAAGTCTTTTGCCAAGTACTGCGAGAGAGCGGGTATCCCTGCTGTATCCTCACGCTTTCTCTCCAGCCGGTCGCTACTGAAGACATTCATGCCTTGATAGCCCAGTAACCATATTAATAAGGGTACCCTTTTGTTTAGGGTTTAGGGCTTGGGGTTTTGGGGTTGGGCATTTATGAGGGAACCTTGAACCAAAAGAAGTGGGAAAAAAAGGGCACCACTGGGCGACCAAGATGCTGTGGATGCAGACAGGGAGCATGAGCATGTTCCTTAGTTGCTGAGTTCAGAAGCCCCACAAAAGTGCACACCTTTCAGTTCTATAGGTGATTATCGTACCCCCAAACCCTAAACCCTAAACCCCAAACCCTAAACCCTAAACCCTAAGTGTACTCATTCTGCTGCTAAGGTTCTGTGCGATTCCCAGCTTCACCAGAACCTGCTCAAAGTCGCCGTCGTCCCCTAGGAGTCCTCGCACGACACAGAGGAACAAAGCCTTGGTAGGTTTAGGGTTTAGGGTTTGGGGTTTGGGGTTTGGGGTTTAGGGTTTAGGGTTTAGGATTTAGGGTTTTATAGTCAGGGCACCCTTTTCTTGGGGTTGGTTTCTTTAGCAAAAAGCTACTAATAATCAGGGCACCCTTTTGGGTTGGTTACTTTATTAGAACAAAAGAACAAAAAACAAAGCAAAAAACAAAAACGGGTAAAGGGTACCACTGGGCGACCAAGAAGCTACAAGGCCGAGATTGGAGAGGCGCTGGCGCCAGGATCGGCAGAGCTGCAGCGAGCATCTGAGGTACAGCGTCCAAAAGGTCTCAGAAATTCCCGGCCGGAACTTTTCGTAGGATGAGAGGGGTGGCAAGTCCTGACCCACAGCTGTCCGAAAGGAGTCTGAAGCCATTCCTTCCCCTCGGTATGTTTCCCACTTGGAGGCCAGCTCCTCAACCGACAGCTGTGTCGCCTCTCTCTCGCTGCTTGAGCTGTCGATGAAGTCGAGGAAGATGTCTGCCGGGTTGGCCATCCTTACTGTTGGTTTCCAGGGAATGAGGGAATTAGGGCCCTACATAAAACCCTTTAAGGGATTATATAGGCTAGCTCATTCCCCCATTCCCCTACTAACCAACAGTAAGCATCTGAGGAATCGGGGCTTCCAGCACCGTTTTAAAGTAGTCCACGCACCCAGCCACGGGCCCGGAGTAGACCAGGTAACCGCCCGTGGCCAGCAGAACCACGTTGTCGAAGAACTCCTGGGGATGAGAGGGGGCCGAATGTTTTCAACCATAAACTCTAAACCCTAAACCGCACTTTTTGAGTTCTAACATCATTTAGTGTTTTTACTTAACCAGGAGCTGGTACTTGTGCCTGGAAAACTCACGCGCACTGGCCACGACGTCCACTGACGGCATGCACTTTGCGAGATATGCTTAGACGATGAACCGGGAAAAAACTAGACCCCTCAACTCGGACTTCCCTGAACTCTAAACCCTAAACCCTAAACCCTAAACCCTGAACTCTAAACCCTAAACCCTAAACCCTAAACCCTAAACCCTAAACCCTAAACCCTAAACCCTAAACCCTAAACCCTAAACCCTAAACCCTAAACCCAGCCCCTGAACTCGGGACGCGGCCAGAGTCTGCCACCTCGGCTGGTGGATCACGGCGACAGTGGTGCCTTGGGGACCAAATGAACCCTTAAAGTGTTTGTGGGTTCATATACCTTAATAGGGACTGTAGTTGTTTAGGGTTTAGGGTTTAGGGTTTGGGGTTTAGGGTTTAGGGTTTCGGGTTCATTTGGTCCATTTTGGTCCCCAAGGCGCAGTGCTGCCGCGACCTTCCGCACAAAAGCCGGACGATGGAGTGGGCGGCGGCTGCGTCCTCGCAAATGAGGGTCTAGGGCTTAGGGTTTGGGGTTTAGGGTTAATTACCTGGGACTCTGTTTGGAAAGTAGCTACCCCTTAAATTCATTAGGTTTTATGAGACATTAAGCTGTAGGTGAAGAGGGTCCCAGGTAGGGTCCAGGATTTAGGGTTTTTGGAAGTTGCGAGTTTCGGGTCGGGATTTGGCTTGGTTTAGGGACGCTGAACCCTAGAGCTTGTGCATCTGGCCTCACTACACCCTGCACCCTATAAATCCTACAAAACCCTACAAGCCCTGTATTGAAACCCCATAAACCATAAACACCCTATAAACCCTATGAACCCTATAAACCCTGTAAACCCTATAAAACCCAGCCCCATAAACCCTATAAACCTTCTCAAACCTACTGTATGAAACCCTAATCCGTAAAACCCCTCCCATCAGCAGGACGTCCAGCCCGCTAGTGGGCTCATCCAAGAACAGCACGGAAGGCTGTCCGACCTGGGCCGTACACATGCCCCTATGCCTGAAGGAAACCTGACTTACAAATATTGCCATATGGGTAGATGTATACATATGTATATATATATATGTATATATATCTGTGTACATGTATGTATGTATGTCTGGATGTCCGTATGAATGTATGTGTATTTTTATATATTACATATCATGCTACTACATTTTTTATCTTCAACCATTTTCTCAGGACTTGAGGGTTATTCTTATATTCGGCTTTCGATTCTATCGGCAAGTTGCCAATTCCATAGCGATGGACGTGCGCTTGCGCTGGCCCCCGCTGATGCCCCGAACGTCGGCATTGCCTGAGATTCTTCGCGAGATGCTCAATGTAGTCTGGAGTGCTAACCAGTAAGGGATATGATGTGCCTGAAGTTGCTTACATAAATTAAAGGTCGTTGGGCCTTCTGCGTAGAACAGATGCTGCAATGCTGCAGCGGAAGCCTTTTCAGTCATCATCTGATCTGACAAGTTCTCCCGGAGTAACCTAGGAATAAAAAGGGTGCCCCTTTTGGCTTAAGGGAGCTTGTCAGGGAACCTACAGCCCTTAAAAAGGCAAGAAACGCCTTCTCTGAGTCCTAGGACAAGTTGCCAACCACCGTGTCCTTCACGTGGAAGATGCCCACGTCTCGCAGAACTGCTTCAACCTTGTGGACCATATGAACCCTCAACGTGCGGATGCTGCTAGGGTATAGGGGAGAGGGTTTAGGGGTTTAGGGGTCAAAGAGCCCTGAACTACAACCATCCCTATGAAGGTATAGGACCATGAGCAACCCTAAATAAACCCTAAACCCTAAACCCTAAACCTGTTTAGGGTTCATGTGCTCCACAAGGAACTCGATCGGAGGTGGCTGCCAGGGGTGTATCTGGCGGAAGCCTCAAGCGAGCTGCAAAGTAGACATTCTCGTAAACCGTCAGTTCCTCGGTAGGGATCCAAGCAGGGTTTAGGGGGTTCAGGATTTAGGGCCTGAACCCACCAAAAAAAGGTCAAACAAAAACGACGAAGTCATAAACAACAACGGCACAAACATCAAACCAAATTCTAAACCCTAACCCTAAGCCCTAAACCCTAAACCCTAAACCCTAAACCCCTGAACCCCAAACCCTAAACCCTAAACCCAAAGAATCAGCTGCTTGCGGCGCTGCGGCCGTGTGCATGATGTCATCCTGTGGGACCTCGGTTGCTTCGCGCAGGTGTGCGAGGCTGCTCCAGGTTTAGGGTGTAGGGGTGAGGGTTTGGGGTTTAGGGTTTAGGGTTTAGGGTTTAGGGTTTAGGGTGTAGGGTGGGTTTGAGGGCTGAGGATTCCTTGTTCTTGTGCTTGCCACCCCTTGGGCGCTTAGGGTCTGTAGGGGCTTTTCAGGGGTCTAAACCTGGAGTTTCTAGCCTTCTCCAATTCTATGCTTCTACCGCCTATAAACCCCGAAACCCTCAACCCTAAACCCAACCCTATCAACCCTGTCAACCCTACCATCCCTAAGCCGCCTTGCCGCGCGAAGTCCTAGTTGCTGGGCCCAAAAAAGTTAACCTTTCAGGTCGGGCAGGACTATAGGCACCACAAAATGTTAAAGGTTACCTACTCAGGCCCTAAACCCTGAACCCTGAACCCTAAACCCTAAGCCCCAGACCCTAGACCCTAAACCCTAATTCAGGGCCCATATAACTATTCTTAGGGTAGCCAAGCCGGGCGGCGAATCCCAAAAGGTTCAAGGTTTACCTACTCAGCTGCTAAGAAGCCCCTGAACCCTAAACCCTAAACCCTAAACCCTACACCCTAAACCCTAAACCCTAAACCCTAAACCCTAAACCCTAAACCCTCGTACTAAGACCCCTCATGAGCCGAGCCGGGCGGCGAATCCAGCAGAGTTCCTGGTTTTCAGGTTGGACTCAACGCCCTCAGGGATGGCTTCGCCATTGGCCTTGAGCACGCCTGAGACTTCTCCTGCCGCGGAAGGGGTTTAGGGTTTAGGGTTTAGGGTTTAGGGTTTAGGGCTTAGGGTTTCGGGTTTAGTGTTTAGGGTTTAGGGCTTAAGATGCAGTACGCAGAGGTGCCAGGGCAGAGCGAGGACATGACAATTCAAAGTTCAGCCTCGGCGAGCTGGACATCAAGAACTGCAGGGACATAATCACTTGAGATGTTCCCCCTTATACTACCAGTCCTAGGGATTATAACAGGGGGTTACTAGAATCCCTGTTACGGACTGTTAGTATAAGGGGAGCATGCCAAATAATAACTCTAAACCCTGAACCCTTGCTGACAACAAATCTAAGCCCGAAACGCCTGTCACAGGTGTGAGAGTCCATCGCCCGTCCCCAAGCCTTAAGAAACCCTCGGACTTCAAAACCTAAACCCTCAACTCCCTGAAACGGAACTCCCAAAACCCTTAACTACCCTAAACCCGAAGCCCGAAACCCTAAACCCGAAACGCCGCAGGCCTGTCAAGCGAAATGCTGCGGCTACTACAGATGGTCGCCAATGTTCGGCCACTCTGTGTCCCAACGTGAACAGCCCAAGGCCGAGACCCCTAGCCTAAGAAACCCTTGTAGGGTTGAGGTTTACGGTTTGGGTTTAGGGTTTGCGGTTTAGGGTTTAGGATTCTGTTGAAATCCGTTTAAGTGCCTTGGGCCAGTAGATCCCCAATGACACCACAAATTACCCATGGCCCCTAAACCCTGAACCCTAAACATCCAACCGTCCCCAACAAGGCAGCTCGTGGCTCCGTAGTGCTGCGCCCGTCCAGTCAGGACATTCCTCTGCGCTCATTGCAAGCTCAGGTTTTACGGTTTGAGGGTTCAGAGTTTGGGGTTTTAGCGTTTAGGTTTTAGGGTTTAGGGTTCGGTGACCAGTGCCCTTTCCCAACTGTCATTGCAGTGTACAAAAATGCCCTAAACCCTAAACCCTAAACCCTAAAAACCCCAAACCCTAAACCCTAAACCCTAAATAGGGGAATTTGCTGAGGAGGGTTAGCTCTGTGGCATCCTGTGTGCCGATCTGTTTACCCAGCTGCCCAGCTTCGGTTTAGGGTTTAGGGTTTAGGGTTTAGGGTTTAGGGTTTAGGGTTTAGGGTTTAGGGTTTAGGGTTTAGGGTTTAGGGTTTAGGGTTTGCAAAAGCAAGAAAACCAGCAAGCCTGCAAACGTTTGAAAACCCCTCGCCGCATGCTCAAAGAAGCTCTGCCTTGGAGTCTATGGTCTATGCAGAAGTAAACTCAATGACACTTAAGAGGCGAAAGCCTGTTTCCTGTTTTTTTTGTGCCGCGGGGGGGGGGGGGGGGGGGGGGGCACGGAACTCTAAACCCTAAACGTTAAACTCTAAACCCTAAAAACCTCAACCTCCAAAACGTCTGAACCAATGTCGCAGGCCCGGGCTCAAGAGGCTGGATTTGCCGCTGCCGGAAGGACCCATGAGGGCACAGCTGCTGTCCTTGCTTTGAATTGCGGGTTTAGGGTTTAGGGTTTGGGGTTTAGGGTTTAGGGTTGAGGGTTGAGGGTTGAGGGTTTAGGGGTTAGAGAAGTTTGTGCTCCTAGCTGGACTGCATGCCGCACCCAAAGATTTCAGGTTTGGACCTGCGTGGGACTATGACAACACGGGTATCCCGGCGACATTTGGTGGACCTTTCAGCCCAGTTCAGGATGGAACCTTTACACATGACTACCTAAACCCTAAACCCTAAACCCTAAACCCTGAACCCTGAACCCTAAACCCTAAACCCCGAAATAGCTCAGGGTCGGGAGGGGTGATGGACATGACAGTACTGTGCGGCATGAGAACTTCGGAGCACACTTTGCTGCTTGTCTGGGCGGGCAGCTGCAGCATTTTGATTTTGCCCAAACCCGTGACACTCCAAGCGTCTGCAGGGATTTCGAGCGAGATGTTCCGCAGGACCTCAAGAAAGAGTCATGCCACAAGAGTGTCAAAAAGTGCGTGCGCCATGTCTGCCGACTTACAAAGATCCACCTGAGCCTGCGCACATGAGCGTTGCTAGCCTGCAAATCCGCCCAGGCCCACTTTCAAGAATCTTCGGGGGAGCATTTTGGCACCTCATCCCACGATAGAATTTTCCGTGGACCATCTGGCATGACTACGGCAGAGGGGCCAGCTTGTCTGCGCCTCGAATCCGCAAGCTCATGTCCTCGGCTTGTTTCAATCGCACTCTCGCCGCGGCAGGCACAAGGCTTCAGGTAGTGTAGGGGTCGGAATAACGACTAGTAGTATCCCCTTATGGTTCTATATGGTTATACCATCATAAGCCCCAAAACCCTATTCTAGTTAGTAAGGCCCTTATATTAGTCTCGGGGCCACTCCCTTCACATCCTTAAGCGCTACACCAAGTAGACAGTCAAAGCCAGCCTAGACTCAAGAGCCTGAAGCTACACTACTGGTTGCTTAAGATCTCCAAAAGAACAAAAAACAATAATCCTCATATTACCCTTATAAGGAGGAACATTTTTTATTTTTTGGGGGGGGGGGTTTCGGGAGCAATTGCTGGTATACCTCCCTTACACGGCAGCAAGCGCAGGTACACACACACACAATCACCGAACAATATTGCTCGAACACCTTCATCAAACTAGCTATTGCAAAAACCCAAGCCATAAAACAAAACAACTAAAAGACCGTAACACCCTTCAGCAGAATCATTAGGCCAACAACTTGGGATGTTCCCCCTCATACTAACAGTCCTTAACAGGGATTATAGTACACACCTATACTAACCTCTACTAAGGACTGTTAGTATCAGGGGACATCCCAACCAACAACCCCTAAACCCTAAACCCTAAACCCTAAACCCTAAACCCTCAACCCTGAACCCTAAACCCTAAACCCTGAACCCTGAACCCTAAACCCTAAACCCTAAACCCTAAACCCTAAACCCTAAACCCTAAACCCTAAACCCTAAACCCTAAACCCTAAACCCTAAACCCTAAACCCTAAACCCTAAACCCTAACCCTTAAACCCTAAACCCTAAACCGTAAACCCTAAACCCTAAACCCTAAACCCTAAACCCTAAACCCTAAACCCTAAACCCTAAACCCTGAACCCTGAACCCTAGGCCGAGCTTCTCGCACCTCGAAGGCCAGGCCCGAAGGCAGGTGCCTCGGGGCCTGGACTGTCGAGCTTGTCATGTCGCGCCAGGACCGAAGAGCTCTCGTTAGGGTTTAGGGTTTAGGGTTTAGGGTTTAGGGTTTAGGGTTTAGGGTTTAGGATTCAGGTATGCTTCAAGGGTCAGGTAAAGCTCGGCTTGCCTGCAACCACCGGGTTTAGCCATGTCAAGGTTCAAAAGAGGGACCTATTTCAGGGACCTTAGGGGATCTTTGGGGGCTATTTAGGGGCTACTTAGGCATATAGGGGTGTGTTCCAGGGACTGAAGGCCACACGCATCAGCTGACAGGGTCCAAACTTTCAGTATGGCGACGTAGGGTGCCTTGCACCCAAGCTGCTGCTTCATCATCTAACCCGAAACCTCAAACCCTTTTAAGCCCCCCCCCCCCCACACAAAAAAAACCCTAAACCCTACACCTGAAACTCTGAACCATCAACAACTCAAGGATGCCATCTGTGTTCCAGGAAACAGAAGGGTACCACTGGGCTACCAAGTGGAGAACTGACCATATCGCCCGCTCCACATGCAAGCTAACACCCGGCGCAAGGCCCGAACAGCTACGACAGTTACTTGGCAAGCTTTCACACTTGAAACCAACATGTACAGCTGTGATCCGGGCCCACCGTAAACCGCAAAACCGGAGCCCCAGCCTACAACTCCCTAACCTCGACGCTAAATCCTAACCCTAAACTTTCCAGAAGACCAGAATGCGTGGCCTGCGCTGTGGATTCAGTGCTGACCATCTCTGTCTCCAGCAGGAATGCTTCCTTCCGACCATGGGGACCCGCTCCGAAATCCCACTTGAACAGAGTTTATAGGGTTTCGACTCTCACACCGCGCAAGGCCGGCAAGGCATCGGTTGGAAGGTCTGGTTGGAAGGTCTTCTGGTCTGTTGTGATGCTGACGACATCCCTTTCGACGGCGTTCCCGGGAACCTATTGACTGGAGGTCAACTCTTTCCCTCCCAATCTTTTCCCAATCGCACAATACAAAGCCAGAAGAAAACGCGACCTACCACGACCTTTCAGACATTAACTGGTGAAAACCTCTAGTGTGCCACTGCAACGACTCGGCATAGCCCCGTGTTTGCTGGCCCACAACTGCCAGTCGGCCACTTCGCATCATCATAGCGGCGCAGTCACTCATGCCCGCTCTGCTGAAAATCCACCCCCAAAGAGCGCCCTTCATTCAAGTCACCAAATCCAAATTCAGGCTTGCTGCTTCCTGTCACACTGCAAGGCTAACGCCCACTGGGATTTCGGCTTCGTTCAATACCAAATCCGAATTCATGCTCATTCATGCTCTCTGTGTCCAATCACTCGTCCAGGACAGCATTGCATCACCTCTCCAAATTTACTGTGGCCCAATTCCATGCAGTGTCCCAATTCCATGCAGCATCCCACCACTCCTGCTATCTACATTTCTTCTCCCTTGCAGATAACAGCAGAAAAGGTTGCAGAAACTTGCATAAAATAGGTTGCGCCTGCAACACACCGAGTTCGGAAAGCTCTTTGCGTCGTCTCCACATTCTCGTCTATGCCACTGGTGCCGAAAGGCAGTGTTGTCCTCCACTCATACCAGCGGAGGCCCTCATGAAGCTGCCGAAGGGACCCACATCCTTACTTGCCCTCCTAGGAGCTGGGGGACGCGGCCCAGAGTACGCCCGACACGCACATCCTAACCTAGGCATGGGAGAATAAAGCGCTATCACTGGGGCTCATCGGCGATTAAAGGCAGGCTGCCTCGCCCATAGATTCTGGCTTCTGAGTTGAACACTCGTCCAAAACAGGGTTAGCCTAGAAAGTAGAGCGCGGCAAGTTGATCTTTTTGGCCTTGGCCACCATCTGCTGGACTTGTTCCTCGCTGGACCTTGAACGCTGCTCCGGTGCGCAGGACCTCCCGGCAGGGCTTGCAGTGAAGCCCTGACGTGACGTGGCACGCGGTGTGTGCTGATCAAATTTCTTCTCAATCTCCTGAGCAGCCGACCGAGTAATCCTGCCGTAGGTGACCAAATACCAGGCCATGGCCATCTTCCGGGTGGCCTGGGTGGCATTGGACAAGCGGAAGTACTCCTCGCTGCTCAGCTTATCGTGCAAGTCGGGCAAGATGACAAAGTCTTGGGAGTTCTTCCTGTGTTCCTGAACCCAAGACAGTTAAAAACATACATGCCTGGGGAAACCTTGACAGAAAAAAAGTTTGCTCAGTCAAGTCTCCTGCATCAGCAGGCCGAAGACCAATCTCTCGCCTGACTGCCGATCCAGCGATCCAGTCGCAACCTTCCGATAGATGTCGGCCACCAGACGATAGTGGCTCCACTGCTGGACCTTGCAGGGCTGTTGGCTCGTGCTGTGCCCATTACCCTGCGGGTTCCACAGCACTTCAGAAGCCTATGATTTAAAAGCAGTGCAAGACTGAGCTTGGTTGCTAGGAGGACGTTCTCGGGCACACGTCTATCGGGCGGAAATTCTGCAAAGCAGGGAACCGGAAGACCGTCAAGCCCAATAGCGGCCTGTCCAGCCTGTCATGATTACTGAAACGACTTGAGATCTCTGAGACGATGCCCATAAGACATGAATAGAAAACAGAAACGAAGAAAAAACTTGACCATGTTGGGGCCAAGCGCGGCGCTCAGGCAAAATGGAGGCATCTCGAAGGTTCCTAGCTCCTTGCGTGCCTCATGACTGGAATGTGGCGCATAAGCAATCAGGATGTCAAAACCAAAAATATGATTACAGGTTAACAAACAACCTTCGAAATGTGCCGGGAGTGCTGGGGCAGCAGCCACGGGCTCGGGCACTGTGTCAGGAATTGATATGCCAGAAACTGAGCACGACTCGGAGTCAGTGTCCTGCGGAAGTGCATCATACATTTCAGCTGCACGGACCAGGGCAGCGGCCTGGACGGCAGTGAAGGCAGACGGAAAGGTGGCACTGCCCGCTTGCCTGCCACCAGTTGTGAAATCGATCAGTCCATTGCAATGTCTCCACAAGCATACAGCAAGCAGCTGAGTATCATGCTGCATGCTCTGTAAATAACATGGGCGCAGGTTGCTTACGCAAATCTGTCGCAGCTGGGCTCGATAGCCCCAGGGAGTTCGGCGTGCCAGTGAATGGAAAAGCGCGCAGCACCTGTCGACTCTGCTCATTCCAGCAGTGCGGTGGTTCATAGCTGTTCGCTCCTCATCATCTTTGATCCTTTCGAATGCCTAAGTCTTCCTGACTTCCCTTTCGACCAGTATTGAACTGCAAGGGCAGTGTAACACCAGTGGGCGAGGCACGGGGTGGGTCTGCAGACAAGCCTGGAATCGACATGGCTGCCGGCCAAGGGCGCGAACCCTGACCCCCCCCCGGAGGCAGAGTGAGCGGGCCAGCAAATGTTGCGCTCGCGTGATGCTGGCCCAGCATGCATGGTGGAGCGTTCGACGAGGAAGCACACAACCCCAATGTTTCTGAAGGCTGGCACTGCCTGGCTTTCAACGACCATGGGCTCCCGCAGGCTGCGAAGCTGTTCCAGGTAAGGTTCCTGCAGCTGAGGCTGATCTTCTTTGAAGAAAACCCTCCAGCCGTCGCTCTGCAGGCCATCCTTGGGGCTTGTTCTGGAACGTGTACCCCGCAGGGACGTTCACCGGCTGCCGCGGCGGCGGCGGCAAGATGATCAACTAACGACTGTGAGTTTGTAGCTTTAATGTTTGCAACCCTAGGTCTTGGGTCCCAAATAGCCGTATTCGGGTCATATCCCATGGTGTTTGAAAAGAAATGAGGTGCGTCTATCCAGGGTTTGCTACCTGGTGCTTCAGTTCATTCCCATGCGCGAGACAGACTTGAGCCAAAATGGCTGGCTTATAGGGTTTATATAGGGTTTAGGGCTCGACTTGGTACACTTCTCGATTTGTGTGCGTCATGCTTGCGCAAAGGCAGGTTCTTTTTCATCGGATGATCCCTAAGGGTTGAGCAATTTCTTGCCACCAAGCCAGCAGACTAGGGCTTCTTTGCTTTGAGACAATTTCCGACGCGACAGATACACCTCTTCAGGGCATCTCCAACTACTAACATTCAAACACCGCTACGTGCACAGAGCCACACAAGACTTCAACTAACTTGCGTGTTCTGCTCTCAAGGAAGCATACCACTTCGGAGTGATATGGTGGCCTCACCGCAAATCCAAGACCTTTACTTCCCAGAACCAGATCTTCAGTACTTAGTGCTCTCCCTCCCTCTCTCTCTCTCTCTCTGTCCCTCTCTCTCCCTTTCCCTCTTTAAGCCCTAGGCCCTAAAGCCTCAACCCTAAACCCCAAAAAGGCCCTGAACCCTCAAGCTGTCAAGAACTCCCGGGCCTGGTGGGCTTGGAGGCTCTGCTGCCGCGCAAATTCCTCGGCGCACAGCCCAAGATGGAGCTGGGCACATTCGGGCTCCGAGGATGTCGTTTAGGGTTTAGGGTTTAGGGTTCCCCAGAGGGTCTAGGAGCTGCTGGCAGCCTCGCGCCCCTGGAAGCTTAGAGTCAATGAAAGGGTTCTTCGGCCCAGACGCAGAGGTCGCCCTAAACCCTAAACCCTGAACCCTGAACCCTAAACCCTAATCCCTCGCTGCCAAGCCGCCGTGTAGAAGAGGAACAGCAGGGCCAACACGAACAGCCAGAGATGGCCGACCACCAAGCAGCCTTGGGCCTGAAGAGCATTTCTTATCACCAATACTTGTATCAGTAATAATCCCAGTAGTATTGTTAGTATTCAGATTAAGATACTTGTTTTATATGCAATGATCGTAGTCTTGTTAGCATTAGTAAGATGAAGAATACTAGTCGTACTGTTTGCAGTAGCATTATGAATCATCTTCGTGGTATGGGTGGTACTAGTGGTTTTAATGCTACCAGTAATGTTAGTCATGGAAATATTAAGAATACGAGTGCTCTTGTTAGCATTAGTATGATGCTAGTGGTATTGTTAGCATTAGCATTATGAATAATATTGGTTGTATTGTTCGAATTAGTATTGTCATTAATACTACTAGTATTGTTAGTATTCGTACTCTACTAATATTAGTAGCATTGTTAGCATGAGCATTGTGATTAATGCTAGTACGGTTAGCACTTGTATTCTGAATCATCATTATACGATTACTAGTAATGCTAGTAGTATTGTATAATTTTGTATTACCAGTGATGCCAGTACCCTTAGTATTCGTATCAAGGACAATATTAGTAATATTGTTGAATTTGTATTGCTACTAATCCTAGCAGTATTGTTAGTATTCGTATTATAATCTTGCGATGATGAGCCTTGTTAAGATTGTTGTCGTTGCTACCATTATGGTTTTTGTGATTCTTGTTGATAGACTCATAAAAATTCTGATGAAGATGACTCGTGTGGCGGTTATGATTATTTATCATGAGGAATATGCTGGTTCTTCATGTTTTGGTTGTTACGCCTTTCGGGTTGAGAGCGTTCAAGGCTCGTGGGTTTCGTTTGAGTGGCTTTGTGGGGGGTGGTGAACTATCAAAAACAAAATCAATCAACAACAAATTAAACTACAACTATCAAAAAAACAAATAACATCAAAAAATAACTAAATTAGCTTAAAATGCAGCAAAGCACAGTATTCCTGATTCAATAACTATCAAAAAATGAAAATTTGCTTCAAAAGCCGCAAACCCTACAGGCGCGGCCGATAGAGCATTTCTGCCGCCTAAGGCTTCCGAATCGCAAAGATGCGTATGTTGGAACAAACACAATGCTGGCATTATGGGTCTGGAAGGGATTCGTTTATGTCTTGCCCGACTTAAAAAAAGCGGGGGGGTGGGGGGGGGGGGGGGGGGGGGGGGGGGGCAGACCCCCCCCCCATTTGCAAACACAATGCCCGCATCATGGGTTTGGAAGGGGTTCGTTTGAAGCAAGCTTGCCCGACTTAAAAAAAAGCGGTGGGCTTTCATCGCGGGTTTGAAAAGGATTCCTGCCCGCATCATAGGTTTGGAAGGGCTTGATATGCTTTCTGTCTTTCTTTCTTTCTGTTGTTCTTTCTTTCTTTCTGTTGTTCTTTCTTTCTTTCTGTCTTTATTTCTTTCTTTTTTCTTTCTTTCTTTCTTTAGTTCTTTCTCTCTTTCTCTCTTTCTGTCTTTATCTCTTTATTTGTGTGTTTGTTTCTTTCTTTCTTTGCTTCTTTAGTTTCTTATTTGTTTAATTATTTCTTTGTTTCTTTCTTGATTTCGTTCTTGCTTTCTTGCGGGTTTCTCTTTCTGCTTATGCGAATTAGGAATAATCATTTTGATAGTCATTAAGTCATTTTTCGATAGTCATTTAATTGTTTTTTGATAGCTCTCCCCTTTGTGGGTCTAGGGTTTCGAGCTCAGGGCTTCGAGTTGGTACTCTCACGCAAGCGGAAACAAGCTCGTTCGAGTTGGTGTGGGGGAACCCATCGGAGCAGGTCGAAAAGGAACACCCTAAACCCTAAACCCTAAACCCTAAACCCTAAACCCTAAACCCTAAACCCTAAACCCTAAACCCTAAACCCTAAACCCTAAACCCTAAACCCTAAACCCTAAACCCTAAACCCCAAACCCTAAACCCTAAAACCCCAAAAAAACCTAAAACCTGAAAGCCCTTGACACCAGAGCCCCCTAAACCTTCTACCCCACCCGCCCCAATGTTATAAAAAGGTTACTGACTGTGTAATAAGTCCGACAGTACTAAATCCTAAACCCTAATTAAACCGTAAACCCTGAACCCTTAACCCTAAACCCCCATTGCGGTCCCAGAAGAAAGCACTGAGTTGCAATGCTCACGCTCTTCACCTGCTCCTCTGTGAAACTCGCCTGACTTGAAGGTGAGAGAACCCCTTTCGTTGTCATTCCCCCCTCTAAACTACCCCCCCTAAGTTGCCCCCTTACATGACCTCCTAAATGGCCAATCGCCTTAAGTATGGGGGAACCTCGGGCCCCCCGGAAGGGGGGGCGGGGTGTAGAGGGGGGTAGAGCGGGGTAGAGCGGGGTAGAGGGGGGTAGCAGGGGATCAAAAGGCTCCTATTTCTTAAGGGTTTAGTAGGGTTTCAACTTTCGCACTCGCACAAGCAGTCAATTAGTTTTTTAGTACGGGTTCGTCTCTCTGATATGAAATACTTAACATTTATGAAAATAAATTGTTCCAAATAGTCTGCGTGGACAGAGATCCCAGAGTTGACGTGTTACTGTCGTTAACCGTTGGATCTTTATACTACTTTGTGGGTCTAGCGAGCCCTCTCAGCTTCGCTCAATGTCCTTTACCATCTCGCAAAGCACAGTTGACTTAGTGAAACTTCCGTGGCTATACCGTCATACATTGTCAGGTGAGAGTCCTCACAGCTCAGTGCTACTCTACATTCTTCCCTCGGCTTTCGCTTTCTGTCAATGGCCCCGCACCCTCTCCTTACGTTTGTGAGGCGGCTTCGGTTTAGGGTTTAGGGCCGTTTAGGGTTTAGGGTTAGAAGGCACCCCCCTTTCTCCCAAACGTTATTTGGACTTGAGGGGGGGGGGGGGGGTGGATTCTGATGCACAACAGCCCCCTGAAGACGCCCCAACCACGAAATGGTTTTTTAAAAGAAAGCCCATTTTGGGCCTGGCTCAGTTCGGCTGGCAAACCCCCCCACCCCCCTCCCCCCCCCCCCCCCCCCTCCCCCCCCCCTCCCCCCCCCTCCCCCCTCCCCCCCCCTCCCCCCCCCTCCCCCCCCCCTCCCCCCCCCCCTCCCCCCCCCTCTCCCCCCCCTGCCCCCCCCTCCCCCCCCGTCCCCCCCCCCTCCCCCCCCGTAAAAAGCTCCAAAACCAAGCACACTATCCTACCCGCTAGGGTTTAGGGTTTAGGGCTACCGGCCCAGGAGCCCCAGAGAGGAGCAGGAAGGCAACTGCCATGGCGAAGGCGCCCATCAGGCAGCACAATGCGTTGAGGCCTGGGGACTTCGTGGGGGTAGGGCTTTTTCCACGATACCCTGTGTTCAGAGGGTTTAGGGTTTAGGGTTTAGGGTTTAGGGTTTAGGGTTTAGGGTTTAGGGTTTAGGGTTTAGGGTTTAGGGTTTAGGGTAGCCCGAAACACAAAGCACACCATCATGGCCGACACACCCTATATCACGCCATGCATTCGGTGTATCAGCAAGTCTGGGATCTTGTTCAGGAAAACGTAGTAGCAACAATCTAGTTTCATATTTCAGTAACTTGATTTAAACCCTAAACCCTAAGCCCTAATCCCTAAACCCTTTCTGAACAGACCAATTCTCCTGGAATCCTGCAAGGGTCTCAGCCGAGTCGGTGGTGCCGATTTCGGGTGTTTGGGGCGTGCGGAGCCCTTTGAGCCCAGAACTCAAAACCCAAAACCTCAACTCCCCCCCTCCCCCCACCAAAAAAAGCAAGAGAGTTTAGGGTTTGGGGTGGGGTTTAGGGTTTAGGGTTTAGGGTTTAGGGTTTAGGGTTTAGGGTTTAGGGTTTAGGGTTTAGGGTTTAGGGTTTAGGGTTTAGGGTTTAGGGTTTAGGGTTTAGGGTTTGGTGTTTGGGGTTTGGGGTTTGGGGTTTGGGGTTTGGGGTTTGGGGTTTGGGGTTTGGGGTTTGGGGTTTGGGGTTTGGGGTTTGGGGTTTAGGGTCTAGGAAACAAAAAGAAGAACAACAACTTGCAAATTGCAGTTTCAAGGCCCCTCTTCCGATAATCGACATTCGGGGCGGCGAAGAGAAACGCTGCGAAGAGGCACACGGGAGCCTGGACTTGGCTTAGGGTTTAGGGTTTAGGGTTTAGGGTTTCGGGTTTAGGGTTTAGGGTTTAGGGTTTCGGGTTTCGGGTTTACTAAGGGAACACGATTAATTACTGCTACATGGGGGTTGCAAAATGGGGGTACCCTTCTTGGGGGGTTCCTTTAAGAGAATTCTATCTATTTGGGGTATAAAAGGGGTCTATATGTTTATACTTTACACACTGATCCTTCTGCGTATCTAGTGTGGTAACTGAAAAAAGCCGCTGTTGCACTAGAAGCTGACAAAGCATGGGTGCGGGGTTTGGGAGAGAGTTCGGGGGCTTCGCACTGACGATCCCTTTCGGCACTAGGCTTCTGAAGATTCTCGCCACCTCAAACCCTAAACCCTAAACCCGAAACCCTAAACCCTACCCCCAACCGCAGCTTGGGAGTTCGAGTTTGTGCAAAGGGGCAGCTAGGCTCTCTCTCGCAGAGCCCTCTTCAAGGGATTCTCCCGAAACCCTAAGCTACTCTTTGCTTAAGAGCCCCCCACAAATGGAAAATACTAGTCCCTGTATTACCCTTATAAGGCGTTTGCAAGCTGTTTGCTTAAGAACCCTCCAAAAAAGTGAAAAGTACTACTGCCTATATTTCCCCTTCAGGAATATTTTTTCGGGTGGTTCTTAGGCAATTCGTAGTAAACCCTCGGGTGGAACTGGAACGTCCAGCCAAATAGCCCTCAGTTAAGGAATGGAATGGACCTCAACACCCTAAACCCTAAACCCTAAACCCGAAACCCTAAACCCTAAACCCTAAACCCTCTCTCTCACCCTAAACCCTAAATCCGAAACCCTAAACCCTAAACCCTAAACCCTAAACCCTAAACCCTAAACCCTAAACCCTGAACCCTGAACCCTAAACCCTAAACCCTAAACCCTAACCCTAAACCCTAAGCACATATGAATTCAGGCATACTCGTACCTTTTCTGAGCCGGAGTCCCCCTAAACCCTAAACCCTTAAACCCTTCTTACCCTTTTTAAACCCTTAACCCTTAAAACCCTTAAAACCCTTGAGCCCTTGAACCCTCGACCACTTAAACCCTGAAGGGTTTCCTTAAACCCTAACCCCTTAGCCCTGGTTTTGGGCTTTCTGGATATACTGATGCCGGGGCGCGTAAACCATCCAGGCCGCCGCCAGGAGCCCCTTCGCAAACCCTAAACCCTATAGCAATAACCCTAGAACCATAGAAGCCTCTAACCCTAGACACCTATATAAACCTACAAGCTTATAACCCAAAACAACTTAAAAACATGGAGTGATAGGGATATGGTTTTGTTTTAAGAAAATAAGGGACCCTGAATACAGATCCCAAATAGTAGAAGTCCCTTATAAAACGGACCCCAAGAAGGTACCCCTAAATTCGGAAACCCCCATATGGGGTGTTTATGGTTGTAGGGTTACACGGTTTTGGGCTTTAAACCCTAAACCCTAAACCCTAAACCCCAAACCCTAAACCCTAAACCCCAAACCCCAAACCCTAAACCCTAAACCGACTCGAGGGCTCCTGCACAAAGGAGATGATACAAGCACCAACGCCCACCAGCACGAAGCGCCAGAGTCGCAGACCTCGGGCGCAGCATGGGCAGCTTGTAGTTTAACCTGTAGGAAAGAACAGCAAGAAGCAAAAGATGAGCTTGTATGCAGGAAGAAGAGTCCAGAACCGTCAATCAACAGCCGGTGCGCTGATAACTTGCGGATGCCAACCTTTACACACTCAAGCCGCGAAACGCCTGACCACACGGGTTTAGGGTTTAGGGTTTAGGGTTTAGGGTGGCCCTACACTCGGCCCGAGATGTCCCAAAACTTACTCTCGACCTCAAAAACTAAGGCCACGGCGGTGCGGCGTTGCAACCTGACTCTACAGAAATTCGACAATCCCAAGTACCGTAAGAATAAGATGCCCTAAACTATAGAGAATATCTTCATTCAGGTGCCCTTCAGCTCATTGTTACTTTGGGGCTTGCAGGCATAGAGCTTATCTTGCTGGAGGTTTCGATACACATGGTAGGCTGCTTCAGCGTTTCGGGTTGCCTCAGGCTTCTGAAAGGCCATCTCAGTCCTAAACACCTAAAACCGGCCTAGCCTAAACCTTCTAAACCGACAACATACCGCCAGGTGGTGGTTACCACTCTCTGACATTGACAAAAGAAGGAAGGTTTCGAGTTCGTGCAGTACGAAACGATGCTTCGGCACACCAGGGTGTGTTGCAGGAAAAAGAGGGAATGAGACCAACTGTGTTGGATGTCGGATTTGCGTAGTTCTGCCGTCGCCCTTTGTCCTTTTCACCATACATGTCATCACCCCTCCTTCGATCACGGATACCCAACTGGAGAACGGTTCCAAAACTGGAGTTGAAGGGCTTCCTTTGGCGTGAGTATGAGTAGGCTCGGCTGGGGCTTTCTCGTCCCAGGCCACGGGCCTTTTGTGCCAAGAAACGCTGGCCATCGTGTAGATGAGGATGGAGGTCCTGGGCAGTACAGGAGATCCAGGGAGAAGAAAAGCTTTCCGGCTTTCCCCTTTGGGAATTTTAGTTGGCTTGTATCGTGGCCTCCCCCAAAAGATGCAAAACAAACTGAAACCGCATCCATAGTAGTCATATACATAAGAAAAGGAAAGAAGTCACATTACAAACCATAGCAAACTCAATAACTGCTCGAGGGTCTTTGTCAGGGCCACCAGGGGCATGACCAGCCAAGCCATCACCAGCGTGGTGCACAGCAAAGTCAAGCAGGGGGCAGTCATGCCTGCTTGCGCAAGGACAGGAACGGGCTCATTGGGATGTTCCCCCTTTACACTAACAGTCCGTATTAGGGATTATAAAAAGGGGGTACTATAATCCCTATTAAGGACTGTTAGTACAAGGGTGAACATCCCGGCGCGTGTCAGACATGGCGGATGTCGCTGGGTTCGGGGGAAGTTGTTGGTTCTGAGTAAGTTCGCTCTCAGAGGCTCACGGAAGACAGGGTTCCACAGAAAGCTTCTGGGCTGTGAGGCCGGCTGCCCTTGTAATGCAGGTGTCGGAATGATTACTAGTAGTACTCATGATCCCTATCATATTATACTACAGTAATCCGCTCCACCCAAAACCCTATTCTAACATTTAAGGCCCCTATAGTGTCTACCCGGACCCGTTTAAACATATAACAAAACAACAATAACAACAATTGTCATAATCATAACCATCATATTGAATTTTAACAATAATACGAAAATAATTTAAATAGTGGTGATAAGAATAGAAAGAATCACAAACAACTGACCATGCCTTGCAGGAGCTTGAAAGAGATCTGCTCGTGCACCGGACCTTGGCTGACTTCTGCACTCCTCCTAAAAGTTTAACTTTGAGGCTCCGTACTGTAGTTTCTACAACCCTAAGCCCTAAACCCTAAACCCTAAACCCTAACCCTAAACCCTTTTGAGGTACACCTTGGCCAGCCAGAAGCAAGCCAAGGGACGGCGGAAGAGTGTGTGGAGGCCGAGCTCCAGGGTCAGCGGCACGGCCGCCGCGGTCGTCAAGCCCAAGGTGTACCTGAAAAAAGGGCTTAGGGTTTAGGGTTTAGGGTTTAGGGGTTTAGGGTTTAGGGTTTAGGGCTTAGGGTTTAGGGTTTAGGGTTTAGGGTTTAGGGTTTAGGGTGTAGGGGTTTAGGGGTTTAGGGTTTAGGGTTTAGGCGTTTTAGGGTTTAGGGTTTAGGGTTCAGTGTTTAGGGTTTAGATGGGTTTAGGCGGCTGAGGGTTTAGGGGTTTCAAGGAAGACGCCTTACACAACCTCCAGAAGAGTATAGGGCTTCGATGACAAGGCAACGTAGGTTCCGTGGATTTTTTCGGCAACCTGATGGAGCCCGAGGCTTCGGTCACAGAAAGGTCGTGAAGGCCGCCCCAACTCTACGACTTGCTTAGACAACACCCCAAAAAGATAAGCGTAACATTCCCTATATTACCCTTCTACGGAAGAATGTTCTCATTCTTTTTTGGGGGGTTCTTAGGCAAACCGTAAGAATAGCCAAGGGGCCAATTGACCGAGGTGGCTCCTGGCTGACTGCGTGTCTACGGCTGGATAGAGGCTAAACCCGCTACATTCTGGGAGTCTATGAGATCTAGCACCCTTCCAAGGCCCTGCGCCCCTGCCACAAGGTCCTTCTTCACAGCGATTCCACCAGCTGCACTCTCGTGGAGTTGACGCAGCAGCTGGACACCAATGGCCTCGCGCAATGACTGGAGACCTTTCACATGCTCTACTGCTTTTGAGGGATATAAGGAGTATATTAAGGGGCACCTTTTTAAGGACTATTAAGGGAATATAAGGGCCATATTAGGAGTATATTGAGGGAAACCTTTAGGGGTACAACCTTAGGGTACTGCTTTGAGGCTAAACATCGCTAGCCCGAGGGTATCTGCAAGCTGGCCCCTAGCTCGAGAAGTCCAGGCTGCGTAGTCCCTAAAATGCGTATACCGGGAGAATGCCCGCAATTTCTCGTTCACATTGAGAGGGGATGCAGATGCTTCATAACTTTTTGTTGAGAGCCTGCGGTGTGGGCAGCTCTGACCCTCCTCTTTTTTTTGGCAGTCTGCAAGTCCACGTGTCGGGCCGCATGCCAGCCGGAGCCCTTGCCACCTGCCACGCGCGCGCGCACGCGCGCCCCCGAACGTCGTCCAGTCCGAGCTGCAGCAAGCTCCGGACCCACCCCTTCTTGGCCGCGAACGCACATCTGTCTCCGAGGTCTCCGGGAAGTCTGGCAAGTCATCTCCCCTTTTCCCGGGCTCACGCTCTCACTCACTTGGCTTCCTAGGATGGGCCTTAAAGCCCTCAGAATAAATATCCTTTAACTGCAGTCCTCTTAAACCCAATAAGAAAAATTTAAAATATCCTTTAACTGTGGTCCTCTTAAAACCCAATAAGAAAAATCTCAAATATCCCAAGGGAATACCGAGCTTCAAGCGATCCAGCGGAAGGCCGACCTTCTTCGACAGCTTCGCGTACTCCTCCTCGAGGTTGGGGGCCACCACCAAATCATCGTCCTTAGAGCCGGGTTTAGGGTTTAGGGTTTAGGGTTTAGGGTTTAGGGGAATTTGGAAGGGGTGGGGGGGCGGGGGTGGGCGGGGTTCGCTCATCTGCTGAGTGTTGTTGATCAGGGCTGCTGTGAGGTAGGCTGTATGGTTTGGGCATGATGGCCCTGACTTCTTGAGTGGATTTTTGTCAACCCCAAACCCTAACCCTAAACCCTAAACCCTAAACCCTAAACCCTAAACCCTAAACCCTAAACCCTAAACCCTAAACCCCCTGGGCCTAGCGTCCCGGCGATCGCTTCGCTCCGGCATGGATCCAAGGCCTCCACACATCCGCGAGAATGTTTTGGAGCTCTCCTTGTCCTCCAACCATAGGGAATCCGAAGTAGTGCGGTTTAGGGTTTAGGGTTTAGGGTTTAGGGTTTGGGGTTTGGGGTTTGGGGTTTGGGGTTTAGGGTTTGGGGTTTAGGGTTTAGGGATCCGGAGTATGGGCCCTCGATTTGGGTCCCCTGTTATAGTTATATAACCCTTAAAAACACTATGCACAACAAGGGCCCATACTTCGGATCTCTTTGAAACAAGGGTAAAGGACCATATGAAGGGCCAGTGGTTCCAACCTTACAAACAAGCATTGGCCAGCAGCATTTGGGCTTTAGGGCTGCAGGGTTTCGACACTCAGCTCTTGCACTCGCCAGGCAAGTCTTCAGGATCTCGGGTTTCGGGGCCCAGGGAAAGGATCCTAATGCGAGTTCAGGGCAGGGATGGGCCCTATACACGCGAGCCCCCAAACCCTAAACCCTAAACCCTAAACAACCCTAAACAACCCTAGGCAACCCTAAACAACCCTAAACAACCCTAAACAACCCTAAACAACCCTAAACAACCCTAAACCCTAAACCCTAAACCCTAAACCCTAAACCCCAAACCCTAAACCCTAAACCCTAACCCGGAAACGGGCACCTCGTAGGAGCTGTTGCATAAAGCCCACAAGGGCTTCGGAGCGTGGATGGGCTTGGGGTTTGGGGTTTGGGGTTTGGGGTTTAGGGTTTAGGGTTTGGGGTTTAGGGTTTAGGGTTTAGGGTTTAGGGTTTGGGGTTTAGGGTTTAGGGATACAATGGCCCACATCAAGAGTAGGTCCACGGTAGAAACAAAACCCCAACAAAGCCCAGATGCCCCCCAAAACCCAAAGCGCTAAACTCCAAACCCTGAAAGCCCTAAACTAAGCCCAAAACCTGAAACCCCGAAACAAAGGTCCTGCTTCCGGAGGCTTTGTCGTACCTCCTTCAGAAGCTGATGAGCCTGAGGACGCCGCCCAATGAACAACCCCTAAACCCTAAACCCTAAACCCTAAACCCTAAACCCTAAACCCTAAACCCTAAACCCTAAACCCTAAACCCTAAACCCTAAACCCTAAACCCTAAACCCTACACCTTGCCTCCAAGATTCATGCTTCGAGATCTGTCCGAACTGGAGTCCCACATAAATCGCATAGACCCAAAACCCCTAAACCCCAAACCCCTACCTGGGACTCGATGTTTACCCACCCTAAACCCTGAACCCTAAACCCTGAACCCTAAACCCTAAACTCTAAACCCTAAGCCCTAAGCCCTAAAACCTAAACCCTACCTACAGCTTAGTGGTACCTACCCCCCCAATTAGCAGGCGTAACCCATAAAACTGTAGGCAAAGAGAGAGCCAGGTAAACCCTAAACCATTTCTGGGCTTCGGTGCAGCGAAGAAGCGGTTTGCAGGGACGATTTCAGAGCATGACACAGCACGCAACTTGCGGGTTAGAGTTGTAGGGTTTAGCGCATAGGGCACCGGGGAGTTTCGAGGTGCTTGGGGCTTCCGGGGGAATTCAACCATTGGGTTTGAGTGGGTTCGGAAAACCAACATGCCCTGCCCCTCTGTTGGGTTTGCACACCCTGCCTCGTACCCCCATATGGTAGATGGGGGGGCTTATATTGGAATCCGGGGGGGGCCTGGATGCAAACATACACAAGGAGATCTTCAAGTAGAGGTTCCTCCAAAAAAAACATCTGCTTTTTCAAGGGGGTGCAAAGGAGCTGAGAATTATGACCCTAAACCCTAAACCCTAAACCCTAAACCCTAAACCCTAAACCCTAAACCCTAAACCCTAAACCCTAAACCCTAAACCCTAAGCCCTAAACCGCTCTTCTCAAAACAAGGTTATCGGACCGGCTTGCCTGGGCATTGCCGGGCTCTAGTTCAAGCAGCCGCTGGAGGTCTTCCGAGGCAGCCGGGTACCTTTAGGGTTTAGGGTTTACGGTTTAGGGTTTCGGGTTTAAGGTTAGGGTTTAGGGTTTAGGGTTCAGGGTTCAGGGTTCAGGGTTTAGGGTTTAGGAGCGCTACAAGATGTTGCATCCTCCGCAGGGCCATCGGCTGTGGAGCTCCAGATAAGTAGGGTAAACCCAGAGGTCCCAGCACCCCCCGCCCCCGCCCTTAAGGAAGAGGCCTGAAGTCATTGTCATTTTAGGATCACGATTGCCATTTAAGGGTGAACACACACACACACACACACCTACACATATGTGCATAAATATAAATAAATAAATATATATATATATATAGAAATATATATATATATATACACACATATATATATATATGTATGATGCATATATGTATATGTATGATGCATATATGTATATGTATGTATATGTATATATATATATATATATATATATGGTCACCCCCCCCCCCCCCCCCTACGACAGACCCTGGAATTGCACTTCCAGTCTGTCCAGGAAGGGGGCGGAAGACCAACACTCCAAAATTACTCGAGTTTCCAAAAATGCCAAAACCCAAAAAACCCAAAACCCAACCCAAGTTTCGGATTTTTGGAAACTCGAGCGGGAGCCTCAAAATCCAAAAACCGAGCAAATTCCTCGACTTTCCAAAATTCCAAAACTTCCAACCCAAGTTTCGGATTTTTGGAAACTCGAGCGGGAGCCTCAAAATCCAAAAAGCGAGCAAATTCCTCGAGTTTCCAAAATTCCAAAAATCCAAAAACTCCAACCCAAGTTTCGGATTTTTGGAAACTCGAGCGGGAGCCTCAAAATCCAAAAATCGAGCAAATTCCTCGAGTTTCCAAAATTCCAAACCTTGGGGTGATTTTTTTGGATTTTTGGAGTTTTGGAAACTCGAGGAATTTGCTCGATTTTTGGATTTGGAGGCTCCCGCTCGAGTTTCCAAAATTCCAAAAATCCAAAAATGCCAACCCAAGGTTAGGATTTTTGGAAACTCGAACGGGAGCCTCAAAATCCAAAAATCGAGCAAATTCCTCGAGTTTCCAAAATTCCAAACCTTGGGGTGGGTTTTTTTGGGTTTTTGTTTGGAAACTCGAGGAATTTGCTCGATTTTTTGATTTTGAGGCTCCCGTTCGAGTTTCCAAAAATCCAAACCTTTGGGGTGGGTTTTTGGATTTTTGGATTTTTGGAAACTGGAGTTTGGATAAGATTTTTTCAGGGGTTCTTATATGATTCCTTATTATGATTTATATAGGCTGCCTATTCAATTTTATAATACTCCTGTTCACTTTAATGGGGGTCCTTATTTAATGAATAGGATTCCTAATCATTTTACTAGCATTCAAAGTGATTTTCAATAGGGTTCCTGTATTTGTTTAATGAGGTTCGTATTGAATTTTAAAGGATGCCTATTAAAGGACTTTATTGGGTTTAAGATTGATTCCTATTCATGTTTACTCAAATGCCAAGTAATTTGAATACGATTCTTAGTCATTTAATAGCATTCTTATTCCTAGTTAGTTTTAATAAAAGTTTTAATAAATTAGCCTAAGAATTTTAATAAGCATCATAACAAACTTTAAACATATTCCTATTAATGTCAATAGTCTTCTTGTTCATTTTCATAAGATGTCGTACAATTTCTAATTGGATTCCGTTTGCTTTGACCAGCTTCCTATTCATGTAAAAAGGCTTCTGATTAATTGGAATAGGCTTCGTATTCATTTTAACAGGGTTTCTCATTCATGTTGACAGGATTCCTAATAATGTTCATAGGATTCCTACTAGATTCCACAGTGCTCCGATTATGCTTTTAAATCCTGTTCCCTATTCATTTCACTTGGACTCGAAGTAATGTTATTGTAACTCTTATTAATTTTATTAGCAATCCTATTTATTCAAAGTTTTAATAGGGTTCATCATAGTTCTAACAGTACGACTCTTATTGTTTCAAGTTTTAAAGCGTCCACGTTACTTTTTTTATAGAATTTTATTGGCTCCTCTTAATCTTTTAATAGGATTCATCTTCATGTTAAACGGATTCCTGTTACTCTTAAAAGAATTCATAGATTCTTTTGTAGGGTTCCTATTAATTTTAATAGCATTCCTATGAATTCAAAAGGGCTCCTATTCATTTCAATGGCCTTCCTATGATTCCTCTGAATTTAGGACTCCAAGAAAATTTAATAGGAGCCCTGTTAATTTAATAAGCTTCTACGTATTTCAACCAGGTTCTTATTGATTGTACTAGGATTCTTACTAAGTTTTCACAAAAGACTCGTCTCAATTTCAATAGGGTTCTCATTCATTTTAATGGGTTTCCTATTGATTTAAATGGGATTCCTATTGAACTCATACGAACCCTATGAATCCTATTAAATTTAATAGGAACCCAAGTAAAACTAACAGCAATCTTATTGAAATTAATAGCAATCCACGATGTCCAGCAAATTGTTCAGGTCACTTCTGTTTGAGCACTCGCTCGAGCAATTGCTGAGTGGATCAAATTATGTGAATTAAGCTTTTTGGAATCAACGAAGTTAACGAAAGTGTTTGAAATCAATTACGGTAGACAAATCTGTGAAGTTGAGTAAATATTTAATGAATTAGTAAAACCCTACCATGACCAAACTGGCAGGCCGATCTGTCGGACTTCAGGGAAGAGCATATGGAGACGTGTTTTTTTTTTTGGGGGGGGGGAGGTACCATATATAGATATACACACATATATATATATATGTATACATCTATTGTTTGTTAACGTGTCTGGCTGCTGTGTGCAGCTATGCTGTCCGTAGCCTTTTTTTCGCTTCCGGGGTCTGTCGTAGGGGGGGGGGGTGAGCATATATATATATATATATATATATATATATTCATACACATAAATCATAGGTTCCTTGATTGAGGGGTCTTGGGCTTCCTGGTCTCTGGCTGATTGCGGCCTCAAGACTCGAGCAGTGTCATCTGAGCTTTGGCGCGTCGGAAGAGGGCCTTGGGCTGATCGGGGCTCTCCTGCCTTGGTCCAGAAACCATTTAGGGTTTAGGGTTTAGGGTTTAGGGTTTAGGGTTTAGGGCTTGGGGTTTAGGGTTTAGGGTGTAGGGTTTGGGGTGTAGGGTTTAGGGTTTAGGGCTTTGCTGTTTCGGGTTTACGGCTTAGGGTTCAGGGTTACTTTATAAGGGAGCCTTGACCCCCCAAAAAAGGGGGCAAAAGGGCACCACGGCACCACTGGGCTTCCAAGTTGCAGCACCTTTCCGCAGAGCTCCTTGACCCGTGCCGCTTCACCTAAGCCGGCAACTGCGAATGTAGGCCGAGTTGTTCGGTGTTGTTGGTGATTTCTCTTGTTGCTCCCTCCCTCTCTCTCTCTCTCTGTCTCTCTCTCTCTCTCTCTCTCTGTCTCTCTCTCTCTCTCTCTCTCTCTGTCTCATGCAAAAGATGCGCCAAGGAAGGGCGCAACCATTACTGGCAGAGTCCAGTCGCCCAGCTGCAGCAGGCACGCCGCCTGGTTGAGGTAGGCGACACGTCTCAACTCTGCAGCTGCAGCTTGCTTCTCCATGAAGTCCTCTGGGCGCAGCACCAGGGAGCCTGCAGGTAAGCATCGACTGCTTTGGGGCTTAGGGCTCCTGATGTCGGAAGGAACAGTGGGCACCAGGAAAGGAAGAGAAAGCTACGCGTGGACAAACCCATCAGCGTAAACACCCGAAACCGCCCTAAACCACTATTTTTGCATAAGAACCCCCCCCCCCGAAAAAAAAAAAATAAAAATAAATAATATAAATATAAATATAAATAAATAAATAAATAAATATATATATATATATATATACTCTTCCTGAAAAGGGTATTATGGGGATGATTATCCTTGTTGTATTTTGTTTTTTTTGGGGAGGGGCTTCGTAAGCCAGTTGTAGTAAACCTTCTTTCAACAGGCCCCCCCCCCCCAATGCCGCCTGGAATGCCCGCCCCGAACCTAAACCACAGGCCCTACCTGGGGCTCTATTTACCTACAGTTTAGCATTATCTACGACTTAAGTAGTAGGTGATTAGTAGGTATAACCCATAAAACCATACGTTTAGAGAGTCCCAGGTAAACCCTATAAACTCAAAGCACTAAATCCTAAACCCTATAAACCCTAAGCCCTAAAACCCAAACCCTTTTTTGAAGCCGGTATCCTCACCACTGCCTGCCGCAGCCCAATTCCCTAGACAGAGCATGCCCACGTCCCAGCACTCAACCCTAAACTCTTTCTAGCCTACACTCTAACCATTTTGAACCCTAAACCCTAAACCCTAAACCCTAAACCCTAAACCCTAAACCCTAAACCCTAAACCCTAAACCCTAAACCCTAAACCCTAAACCCTAAACCCTAAACCCTTCAATTCCCCTTTGGCAGCCAAGACTCTCAGCAGCTCATAGAGGGCGGCTGCAAGACGAACTCGACCCTGGCGAAAGAGTCTTCCAGCCTGGCGCTCCACGTAGTAGCTTATGTTAGGGTTTAGGGTTTAGGGTTTAGGGTTTAGGGTTTAGGGTTTAGGGTTTAGGGTTTAGGGTTTAGAGTTTAGGGTTTAGGGTTTAGGGTTTAGGGTTTAGGGTTTAGGGTTTTCCCAGTCCAGCGAAATTTGGTAGGTCACTATGAGAATACCCCGTATAGGATTCTTAAAGACACCTACAAAGATTTCAGTCTGGGTTCTGAAGGTCGCTGTTCAAGTCGGTATCTGTTCAACACGATTTGTATGACCGAAGTTTTCCTTTGCCTGGCGGTGAGATTAGAAGAACGATCTGAGGAAAGGGGAGGGTTGGACGTACCTTGGCTGACGGTTGAACTCAGAGAATGATTCGCGAGTACACGGTCAGCCTTGGTTTTTACTGTGTTCACGCCTCAACTTAATTTTACAGTTTCGGGTCTAGGGTCTGGAGGGTAAGGAGCTCACATGAAGCTAGTAACCCTAAACCCTAAACTCTAGACCCTAAACCCCAATACCCTAGCCCTAAACCCTACTACCCTTACCTGGATAAGGAAAGTGAGTTACTAAGTTGCTGTATGGGTTTGTGGGGCTGTGATGGTGGCTGAACTTAAGCTGCTTGGCCCGAAACTTGTGGAACTTTCTTCATATTAAATATTACTTTAAATGCATACAACTCAGCGTAATGAGTTATGAGTGTAGGTAAAAGCAACACTGCCGACACCGCAAACCACTAACTGACTAACGAACTAACTAAACAAACTATCTAAACAAAGTAAACTAACTAAACAAACTATCTAAACTAAGTAGACTAATTAGACTGAAGGACTAACTAACTAACTAACTAACTAACTAACTAACTAACTAACTAACTGAAAAGGAACTCACGAACTAGCACACGCAAGCGCTTCGTCCTCCTCACGTCGCTGGTGCCCTCGCTCGAGCCGCTCCTCATAGGTCCTGAGGGGCCAAGGACTGACAACTAGATCCTAATAGGGTCAGCTCTCAAAGTTAAGGGTCCCTTTTTGGGAACCCTAAATGTTAGCGGTCGCCTCAAAACAATAAGACCCAAAAGGGACCATACTTTAAGAGAAGCGACCATATAAGGTTTACGGTTTAGGGCCCAAGCTGAAGCTCTTCTTTTATAGGGAGGTGGCTTAGGAAGCCTCAGGGATATCGTGGGGAGTATCGGGGAACCTTGGGTGACATATTCCCCTTGAAACCCCCTCCCTTTAGAATCCCTATAACTCTTCCTTTCCGAGGTCTGAACTTTAGGGTTTAGGGTTTAGGGTTTAGGATTTAGGGTTTTACATCTCTGACCAGGCTAGCAAGATCAGTGGGCTTGGGAGTGCAGGGCCGTGCGCGGGCTTGTGATTTTTCGAGGTGCATGCCCCTATTCCCACTTGCCTTGAAGGAGGAACATACCCTTTCATTCATCTTAAGATTCTGAATCGTCTAAGTAACCCTAAACCCTACACCCTAAGCCCTACACCCCAAGATCGCTCCGCTTAGCCGAGCAGAATAGAACCACGCCGGTGTGCGAAGCTCGCGCTCGGACGAGGGGGTTCAAGATCTTTTTGCGGCTTGGGGCCCTGGGGGTCCCGAAAGAGTACACACACACACATATGAACAGGGATAAAATGTACGCACGTATATATGTATATATATATACACACACACACATATATATATATATACATGTATATATACATGTATCACATACAAGGCGATAAGTATATGACAAAACTGATGGTTTCTATGACCTGGGTTGGGAAAAGCGAGTCCTGAACACTTCTAGAGAAATCTAGAGAAGCCTGGCAGCCCAGTAACCATTATGATAAGGGCACCCTTTTTTGGGTTGGTTATTATATAAGGGAACCCTAAACCCTAAACCCTAAACCCTAAACCCTAAACCCTAAACCCTAAACCCTAAACCCTAAACCCTAAACCCTAAACCCTAACCATAAAAAAAAGGGCAAAGGGTACCACTGGGCTACCAAGGCTCATGTCCCACTTCTCCTTGACGGCTTGCACGCTCAGGACCTCGATGTGCACCATAATGGGCGCCTCGATGCCAGAGACGTCGTCAAGCAGGCCGCCGTGAAGGCACGCGCGCGCGTCCGTAATGCCTTGGTAGCCCAGGAACCATAGTATGATAAGGGCACCCTGTTTTGGTTTGTTTATTTTGTAAGGGAACCCTAAACCCCCAAGCCCTAAGCCCTAAACCCGAAACCCTAAACCCTAAATAACCAAAAAAAAGAAAGGTAAAGGGAAAGGGTACCACTGGGCCACCAAGATGCGGAGTATGGCCTGGTCTCCCTGCCGCAATCCCAAGACTGCTCCCTCCAAGGCATCGCAGACCTGTCCCTCACCTGCCACAAACCTCTGTTGCCCAGTTTAGGGTTTAGGGTTTAGGGTCTAGGGTTTAGGATTTAGGGTTTAGGGCTTTACCTTTGGGATTTCATAGGGAATTGCATACCACAAAAAGGTTAAAGATTACCTACTCTACTACTCGGAAACTCCAAGTCCACGACGCCACTGCCTTTGTCAACCCCGTTTGCAGAGACTTTGTGGAGGCGCAGGCGCACCTTACCAGTGTCCTTACTGTTGGAATGAGGTACCCTGTATATCCCTATATATACACACACCCTTTAAGGGATCATACAGGGTACCTCATTCCCTCATTCCCCCTACTAACCAACAGCAAGTGTCGTGCAACTTGTCCTTGCCACTCCCTTCTTTGATCCGCTTGCGGAGTACCGTGCCGTCCATCGAGCCGAGGCTGACGTCGTGAACCTGATAGATCTCCTCCGGGTGGGATTTCAGCGGCAGCGTTTCTGTTATTCTTTTGCCCTAAACCCTAAACCCCACCCTAAACCCTAAACCCGAAACCCTACACCCTAAACCCTAAACCCTAACCCTAAACCCTAAACCCTCTGTTCCCTACCAAAAACGGCCCTCTGAACCCGGCCCCAAGGAGTAGGTCCTCCAAGGAAAGGGAAATGGTCAGGGTCTTCCTCTGAAAGTTGCCAGCCATGGCATAGCCGGGCTTACACACCACCAGCGCCTCTTCCCCCAGCTTCATGGAGAGAAGCGCCTGGCTTGCGGGAGTAACCGCCCAGCCCAACGTACTGCACTCCAAAGCATCCTCGAAGCCCACAACTCACGGCATCCTAAACCCTAAACCCTAAACCCTAAACCCTAAACCCTAAACCCTAAACCCTAAACCCTAAACCCTAAACCCTGAACCCCAAACCCTGTGATGAGGAAATGCGCCTTGTCCATGACCCGCGCGATCTGGCCAAGCTGCTCGCCCCCAATCCTTGGCCCGTTTGCGACTGCTAGGTTCTAGGGTTTGGAGGGTTTAGGGTTTAGGGTTTAGGGTTCGGGTTTCGGGTTTGGGGTTTACGGTTTAGGGTTGAGGGTTTGGGGGCTTAGGGTTTAAGGCGACCTAGAGAAGGAGAAACAATGAACTCTAGAAAATTCCATCTACTGCCATACTGCCATATGCCCTAGCTTTCACCCGAAACCCTTCCTGAGTGGCCGCGGTACTTTCCTACATCGCAAGTTTTACACACATGCTGCCGAAGGCCACGCGCGGAGTGGTTCTCAGGCAGTTGGGTTGGGAACCCTAAACCCTAAACCCTAAACCATAAACCCTAAACCCTAAACCCTAAAATCCGCAATCACCAGGGGCAGCATCTAGACCCTGAACCCGGAGCCTCTGGACCCCAAACTGGCAATCCTGAACCTCTAAAATCCCCCAAGCCCGAAACCTTTTTTGCAACCAAGAATGCGCAGCTGCCAGGAAACCTGAAACCCGAAACCCTCAACCTTCACACTCCCAAACCAGAAATCCTGAACCTCAGCCCAAAACCGAAAACCCCAAACCCTGAACCTCCAAACTCTCCAAGCCAAAAAACCCAAAACCACAAACCCTGAACCTCTAAAATCCCCAAATCCAAGAACTCTGAACCTCTAAAATCCCCAAACCCAAAACCTAAAACCCCAAACCTGGTACCTCTACAATCCCCAAACCCAAAAACCTAAAACCTCCAAACCCCGAACCTCTGCAGTCCCCAAACCCCAAAACCCCAACACCCTGAACCTCTAAAATCTCAAACCCCAGAAGCCTAAAGCCCAAAACCCTGAACCTCTACAAACCCCAAACCCCAAAACCCTGAAAACCCCTAAGCCCTGAACCTCTAAAATCCCCAAACCCTAAACCCTGAACAAAACCCACGACCGAGGATCTTGTAAATTGAAGCCCTGCCATCCATGACCTTGGCGCCCTCTGCGAGGACCTGTCGGTAGAGTCTCGCAAGGTTTAGGGTTTAGGGTTTAGGGTTTGGGGTTTAGGGTTTAGGGTTTAGGGTTTAGGGTTTAGGGTTCAGCATCTCTGGTCCAAGCATTCACTAGTTGAGCAGCTTTCAAGGCCACAGGGGAATACCCACCCGCCCATTGGGTCCCACACCATTAGGAAAAATATCCAACCTCCTTCTTCTCTAGGCACGTGGTCAACAGAATGGATTTGTTAACCACATGTGTCTGTTTCAAGCGGACAAGAAAACCAAACGTGGTCAACAGAATGGATTTGTCAACCACATGTTTCTGTTTCGAGCGGACAAGAAAACCAACGTGGTCAACAGAATGGATTTGTTAACCACATGTTTCCATTCGGGAACTTATTCTTTGGAAGCCATCTTGAGTTCTTGAGTCGTTTGAGGGGCTTCAGGGGCCTCAAAAACAGGCGCGGTCATTCGGGAACTTATTCTTTGGAAGCCATCTTGAATCGACTTTTTTGCGGGGCTCCAGGGGGGGGGGGGGGGGGGGGGGGCGGGGGGGGGGGGGGGGGCGGGGGGGGGGGTGGAGGAGGTGGGGGTGGGGGGGGTGGGGGGGGGGGGGGGGGGGGGGGGTGGGGGGGGGGGGGGGTGGGGTGGGGGGGGGGTGGGGGGGGGGGGGGGGGGGGGGGTGTGGGGGGGGGGGGACCTTGCCCACTAAATATATGACCTTGCCCGCTAACCTTGCCCGCTAAATATATGACCTTGCCCGCTAAATATATGACCTTGCCCGCTCAATTTATGACCTTGCCCGCTAAATATAGGACCTTGCCCGCTAAATATAGGACCTTGCCCGCTAAATATAGGACCTTGCCCGCTAAATATAGGACCTTGCCCGCTAAATATATGACCTTGCCCGCTAAATATATGACCTGGCCCGGGCCATATATTTAGCGGGCAAGGTCATATATTTAGCGGGCAAGGTCCTATATTTAGCGGGCAAGGTCATATATTTAGCGGGCAAGGTCATATATTTAGTGGGCAAGGTCGCCCTTTAGCGGGCAAGGTCATATATTTAGTGGGCAAGGTCTTTTTTTAGCCAATGGACCTTGCCCACTAAATATATGACCTTGCCCGCTAAATATATGACCTTGCCCGCTAAATATATGACCTTGCCCGCTAAATATAGGACCTTGCCCGCTAAATATAGGACCTTGCCCGCAAAGTCATTAACATTTATATTATATATGAAAGAGTGGTTTAGGGTTTGGGGTTTAGGGTACCTAGGGCCTTTCTTGCCTCCCGCGCTTCGCCCTGCCAACACACGAACAACAAAGGGATTCCGGAAGAGAGTGGCTAAGGCAGCGGCGCTGTTGCAGGAAAAGGAACTGTCTACAGCCGTGGGCACCTAGGGTTTAGGGTTTAGGGTTTAGGGTTTCGGGTTTAGGGTTTTGGGTCTAGGGTCTAGGGTCTAGGGTTTAGGGACGTTAGAGCCCCAAGGCCCTCCTCAATTGTGCTGTTTTGGCCCCCCATCCCTTTTCCCGAGACCCATTGAATGACACAAGGAAGGGGGAGGGAAGTAATTGGGAAGTGGACATTCTCGAACCCTAAACCCTAAACCCTAAACCCTCGACCCCTAAACCCCTAAACCCCTAAACCCCTAAACCCCTAAACCCCTAAACCCCTAAACCCCTAAACCCCTAGACCCCTAAACCCCTAAACCCCTAAACCCCTAAACCCCTAAACCCCTAAACCCCTAAACCCCTAAACCCCTAAACCCCTAAACCCTAAACCCGCCAGCTGAAGGGGACGCAGTCGGAGCATGGCTCCGGCCTCGTAGCTCAGCTGGCATTCGTCCCCGGGCCTGGGCAGCCGGCCGTCGGTGGTCTTTCGGACCTGGGGATTTCCGAAAGTAGGTTAGGGTTTAGGGTTAGGGTTTAGGGTTTGGGGTTTAGGGTTTGGAGTTTGGGGTTTGGGGATCCCTTATTTTCGTCAACCCCCCCCCCCCCACCTCTTTCAAGGCGCCGCCATCACCAAAGAGGTCCTCTCAAGGATTGAGGAATTCAGGAGTGTGAGTGTCTTAAGCCGCAAAATTCTCGTAAAGACTCAAACTTGGCTTCAACCAGCCTCGCGCAGAGGGCAGGAAACCAGCTCCAGCGAAAGCGTCACCAGGCTCTCAGGGGCCAGTGTAGCCGCAGGCAGGCTGGCGCCATAGGCCAGGATGGCAGTCAGGGAGAACTCCGCGTGCTCGCCCTTGTGCAGACGCTGCACGGCCATATCGAGCCCGGGAAGGCTCTCATGCTCTCCCACGGTGAACTTGCAGGTGTCTTGCGTGAGCGTGGGCAGCTCGCCCCCTGCGCCCGCCAACGCGAACTTGACCTCCACCTTAGTAAGCCCAGTAACCACATTATAGCAAGGGCACCCTTTTTTTGGTGGTTACTTTATAAGGGAACCCAGAACCCAAAAAAGGGTAAAGGGTACCACTGGGCTACCAAGCCACTACATCTCCCACGGCTGGCGGCAAGAACCTCCGCGTTGGAGGGTGCCGCTTGATGCTCTTTGTCACGCCAAGCGGCAGCTCCGGCCGACCCTCCATCCCCTGCTCTGCTTTCCCGCTTCAGAAAGTGTGACACACTCGACTCCTCTGGCTGTCTATCTGCAGTTACCTACAGTTTAGTAGTAACTACCCCTTTATTTAGGAGCCCTTTGTACAAATTGTGACACACTCTACTTACTCCTCCAGCTCACTCTCTGTACCTCTGTACCTGGGACTCTGTTTACCTACAGGTTGAGAGTAGCTACCCCTTAACTAGGAAGCATAACCCACTAAACTGTAGGTAAAGAGAGTCCCAGGTACACAATCACTACTTTCATTGCGCTTCAGTCGTGAATGAGTGTCACTCAGAACGGCAACGCAGGTTCCAACTTTGCACAGTTCTTGTGCTTCTAAACCCTAAACCCTAAACCCTAAACCCTAAACCCTATACCCTAAACCCTAAACCCTAAACCCTAAACCCTAAACCCAAGAAGCTGCGGTCGAGGCGTTGGTCTTCGGTGGAATGAGGCAAAACTGGATCTTTATGCCTAAGAAATACTCAACATACCCCTTGGGCATACCCTTAGTTGTCCAGTACCTAGGGGTTTTAAAGGTTAACCTTTGGGATTTTAAGGGGAATATATTAACCCAAAAAGGTTAAAGGTTACCTACTCTACTACTAAGTACCCTGCAAAGCAACTAAGGGGCATGGTAAATATATTCCCATGTGTTTTCGTTTGCAGGTTAAGGGGTGCGGGTTGGGTATGTTGAATTATTCCTAGAGTATAGGTACATGGGTGCAGCCAGCACATGCAAGACCGACTGCAGTGATAACGCATGAAAGCAACTGGCGCTGTAGGGTTGCGATGCGCTCCATGGTTGACAGTAGGAACCCTGGATACCACATGAACCCTAAGCTTGGGATCGTATGCCCTATGCTACTATAACTCTTCCGATTCAGGTAGATGCACCGTAAACCCCAAGCCCTACATCCATTTAGGGTTCAGTTGGCCTCCAAGGACCTTGGCAACGCAAGCAAAGCAACACACACCGCGTGCACCTGCCGGACACTTCAGTTGCTCGCAAGGAGTTGGACAGTAGAATCCTGAGAAGCGCCACCGGACTCATAGGGTTTAGGGTTTAGGGTTTAGGGTTTAGGGTTTAGGGTTTAGGGTTTAGGGTTTAGGGTTTAGGGTTGAGGGTAGTTGAACTCAAGCGTCGCACATCAGTTCTGCATGATCAATGAGGCTCTTGGTCCAAACCTGTTAGAGGTTCTCCAATGGACTGTGCGAGTCCAGCCTAGGTAGCTGCGAAGTGTTGCTCCACTGCAGACCCAACACACCCAGAAAACGCCGCAACTCAAGCCATGCCAAAAGCAAACCCAAAATCCTCTGAGCCCTAAATCCTATAAGCCGCAAATCCTGAACCCTATAAACTTTTATAAGCCCTCGATAAACCCGTTATAACACCCTCTATAAACCCTCTACAATCCCCTTTGTGGACCTGCAGCCCCTAAGCCCTAAACCCCGAACTCGGGCCCACGCCCTTCTGGCAGGTGCGTGGCACCAGCGAACCCTCCTGGGCTTGTAGTAGATAGGATTTAGGGTTTAGGGTTTAGGGTTTAGGGTCTAGGGTTTAGGGTCTAGGGTCTAGGGTTTAGGGTTTAGAGTGTAGGGTTTAGGGTTTAGGGTTTTGATGACAATGGGTAGTATTGGATAGTTCTTCGTGTAATTTCGTGAGGAGAGAAGTCTAGCGGCCTATCTGATTTAGAATGGGTATTTGGGGGTGCAGCTGTTTTTTTGTCTACCTACATGGGCTTCAACACGGGGGAGAGTGTTGGCTACTGGCTGGTTCTTAGTAGGGATTGAAGGAATGAGGTACCGCAGATAATCCCTTAAAGGGGTATATATAGGGCCCTATTTCCGTCATTTCTTGCTAAAACCAGGCTGCTTAGGCTCCTGTCTTGCGTTTTCAAGATCTGCGGGAGGGGGGGGGGGGGGGTTGGGGGGGGGCGACTACTAGTTCTTGGACTGACGTGGTTTAGGATTTAGGGTTGAGGGTCGCGTCTTCGGACAAACAAGTCTCTGGGCAAAAGCTGCCCCTGAAGCATTCCGTCGCCAGGAGCGAGGTCGGGCCTGAGCTGTCGGACGTCACCGAGCCCATCGTGGCTTGTTGTGCTCAGGGCCTTATAGGGTTAGGATCCTTTGTAGACAGGCTTCCAGCAAGGACTCATACTTTTAGCAACTCTTCACTCTTCCGGCTCAGCACTGGACAGTAGTACCCGGCCGGGCAGGGCCTGAACAGTTGGAGGTTTGGGGGTACGAAGCGCAGCAAGACGCAGCTACTGAGAGCGCCCACTACACTCTGATAACCTGTAGACCCAACTATACTCGTGAAGCCTTCTTGCCGCCCCCGTTCGCGAGGCCCTGTCCCGTTACTTGTGCACTAGTGTGAGGAGCTTTCCTGCCCATTAAACACAGAGCCGCAAAGCGGTTTACATCCACGCCCGACTTAGCCCTATGCCTATACCTTTGTCCCCTCTCCGGGTTTAGGGTTTAGGATTTAGGGTTTAGGGTTTAGGGTAAGGCTGCAGGCCTCTGAGCCCCAAGAAGACCGCTGGGAGCCCTAGAGTCCTACCTCCCCCAGCAGCCTGCCAACTTTCGCTGCGCAATGTCGTGCGCGAGGCAACCCTAAACCCTAAACCCTAAACCCTAAACCCTAAACCCTAAACCCTAAACCCTAAACCCTAAACCCTAAACCCTAAACCCTAAACCCTAAACCCTACTACTGACCGCCCTAAGCTTCGGAGTTGCTCCCCTTTTGCTAGGCCCGAAGTGTGCCTCGATCAACTCTCCATTTTCACTGCCCTCACTCCGCTGACCCCAAACAATCAGGAGCAATCGTTGAAGTGTTACAAGCAAACCCCTCTCTTAACCTACAGTTCAGTAGCAACCACCCGATAATCAGTAGATACAACCCATGTAAACCTGTAGGTTCGGAGTCCCTGGAATTCATTGAGACGCAGTCCGCGGTTGACGGTGGTGAATGTCTGCGCACGTGCCGTCTGCTCGCATCGCCCTGTGCGTGACCTCTTCTTTCGGTTTCCGGCGCGAGAGCCTCGCTTTTGTTGCCATAGCTGGCTTCAGTCCACCCTGAACAGCATCTTTGCCTAAACCCTTCAACGAAAAAATCTTACACACCCCACCAACAAGGCAACCATGAGGCCCCCCCATCCCCCCCGCCCCCAAACCCCCTACGTCACCCTAAGCTAAAGCCTAAGCTAAACCCTCAACCCTCAACCCTCAACCCTCAACCCTAAACCCTAAACCCTAAACCCTGTTAGTATAAGGGGCCCTAAGCCATGCATTCCTTTTCTATGGGGATTTCGCAGCCTTGGCTCCGCGAGGCCCGTTGAGTTGCAGAGGGTACCATGTCCACAGGCCTCCATCAAAGGCTAGACCCAGGGTTTAGGGTTTAGGGCTTAGGGCTTAGGATTTAGGGTTTAGGGTTTAGGGTTTAGGGTTTAGGGCTACTAAGACCCGGGAGTACTAGTTCATGGTTGGGAGAATATTAAAAATGTAAACTCGTATTCCTTATTGGGTTTAAGTACCCTTGACATGTAAAATGGTACCCAACTATGACAAAGAGTAACCTAGGAATAGAAAGGGTACCCTTTTTGGTTTTAAGGGGATTATAAGGGAACCCCAACCTCTAAAAAGGAAAAAGGGCCTAATTCCCGGTCCTAGCAGGGGGTCTGCGAACCTCCCCCCACAGGGTTTAGGGGGTCCGCGAACCTAAGCTTTGGGGCTTTTTGGGGCTTTCAGGTTTTTTTTTTTTGGGGCGGGGGGGGAGGGGGGGTGGGCCTTTAGAGGTCTGATTCCAACTCGAATGTGCGGCAGCAGGAACCCTATTGTCACGCCCAGCACCAGTTCGAAGACAGCTTGCCATGCGTATCCCACGAGCAGGATGTGGTGGGCCGACTGAACCCAAACCCTAAAGCCCAATACCCGCATGACCCTCAAGCGAAAGTGAACCAAAAGCCCTTCACCAAAAGTGATCCTAAAGCGTTCGAGGTGATCTGCAGACTCCAGAAATGTCACAAAGGTTTGGGTCCGAGGTAACATTTAGGCCGAAAGCATCGAGCGAACGTCTTGAAACTGAAAAGGAACCCGGAAAGGGTTTTGGGCTTAGGCTTAGAACACCTGCACTTGCTAGCCTTCGCTGTCAAGCAGCTTCTGGTGCCTTGAGGACTGCACCATTTCATGCATCTTGGTGCACTTCGGGGAGTTTTTCCTAGGTTGCAGCTGGGCACCCTCACATCCTCCATCCTCGGCCCGCTACCCCCAAAGCCCTGAGGATGTCCCAAAATTCAAGCAGGATAAGCAAACACGCCCCGAAAGAAAGGGTGAAGCTTTCCCTGGTGCCAGTAACGCCCCTTTGGAACCCAAATTCAAGGCATCAGCCACTTTAACGTCTAAACCCTAAACCCTAAACCCTAAACCCTAAACCCTAGACCCCACTTGAACCCTTTGCTTCCAAGCCGTTTCGGACTCTCCCGGAGCCTTGGGTGGGGCCTTGTCGCCCTCGCAGAAAAATCCTTGCGGGCAGCGCCGGACCTGCTAAATGGAGGTTTAGGGTTTAGGGTTTAGGGTTTAGGGTTTAGGGTTAAGGGTTAAGGGTTTGGGGTTTAGGGTTCCGGGTTGAAGGTGAACAAGGTTTAGGAGTTCGGGATTGACTAGTGGCCAACCGTCAGGAAACAGTTCGGCTCTAGGAGCTGGCCCTCCCTCCACCCACTTCCTCAAACACAGCGCGTGAAATCTTGAGACCACGAATAACTCTAAACACGAAACCCTAAACCCTAAATCCTAAACCCTAAACCCTAAACCCTAACCCACAGCCGCCGGACCTGGAAGCAAAGCATGAAGTACTTGAGCTTGTCTGGAAGCCATGTCGCTTCGTATCCTGGGGCTGCGCGTTGGACATGGGCGCTTCGGGCTCGGCGAGTCGAAGGTGACTGGAGGGACGGAGCAAAGATACGCATCGACCAGGGCCCGCTGCCAACGTGGCATGATAGCCATAGCAGTAGGAGTAGTCTGCAGTCTAGACCCAAGAGTAGGCAGGAATCATACATGCCCTTTTTGGGGTTTAAAGGGGGGCTTGTAGTACGGGAACCTACACCCGAAAACTACCCGAAAGTAAGGGAAGAAGGGACTGCTCTTAGTAGTGCTGCTTGCCGTCCAGTATTTACAAGACATGAGAACCTAAACCCTAAACCCTGAACCCTAAACCCTAAACCCTAAACCCTTAACCCCTAAACCCTAAACCCTGAACCCTAAACCCTAAACCCTAAACGGTAGTGACCCGTGTCTTCCAGGCAAGACAGACCCACTCCGCGGGCATCAGAAGGCAAATCTCCGATGCTTCCCTAAACTTTTACCCTGAACCAACACCCTCTAAACCCTAAACCCCAAACCCCAAACCCCAAACCCCAAACCCTAAACCCTCAACCCTCAACCCTAAACCCTAACCCTGCCTACACTGCAGCCAACTTTGCGAACCCTTGCCTGGGACTCTCTATGACTCTCTATACCTACAGGTTTACATGGGTTATACCTACTAATTCAGGGGTAGTTACTACAAAACTGTAGGTCAGCAGAGTCTGAGGTAAAATTGCCCGTGATTTGTTCCAATCCCAGCAATGAGGTACCGTGGGCTGGAAACCCTTTCAAGCTTCCAGGGTTCACCCCTCTCAGGCCGAAGGGTCCATCTTGTGGCTGCAAGGTTTAGGGTTTAGGGTTTAGGGTTTAGGGTTTAGGGTTTAGGGTTTAGGGTTTAGGGTTTAGGGTTTAGGGTTTAGGGCCCCTGAAAGCCTCACCGCAACCTCCCCACGAGGTCCAACCGCACCCCACCACGCCAGGGCTCGGTAGAAGCCCTTCCGCACCTTGGTCACCCAGTAGCCACAGGATGATAAGAAGGGTACCCCTGATTTTTGGATTGATTACGTGATAAAGGAACCCCAAACCCTAAACCCTGCCCTAAACCCAAAACCCTAAACCCTAAACCCCAAACCCAAAACCCCAAACCCCATTCTATCCCAAAAAAAGAGCTAACAAAAACGGCACCACTGGGCCACCAAGGCACCTTGGCCATGGCAGTTTCCGGGTGGCCCCAGCCCTCCGGGCAACCGGATGGGACCGTTACTGCCAGCGCCTCGAAGAACTGCTCGTCCTGAGGCTGATGGTGTAGGGTTTAGGGCTTAGGGCTTAGGGCTTAGGGCTTAGGGCTTAGGGCTTAGGGTTATAGGGTTTAGGGCTTAGGGCTTAGGGTTTAGGGTTGAGGGACATCACGGAAGTGTACTCTGCGATGGCGCTGCAGCAAGGTGGGTTCTGCTTTGCATGCCCCAGCCATGACAGAAGCCAACAAACAAGTCCAAGCATCTTCCATGATCTTGAGGGCGATAGGCTTTGGCGAGCCCTCTTCCCTGGGTAGATTTGCAAGGTTTCGCTGCTATCATGCGGCACAAGCTCTGTGCAGCGTGACTGTCTGAACGTGTGTAGCTGTAGTCTTGCAAACCAAAACCCTGAACCCTAAACCCCATGTTTATCCGTCCACTCTTTGCGACCTGGGTGCAGGAGGTACGGTGCCACCAGCGTCTCATCTGAATTCAACATGCAGCTAGGCTTGTCAGCCACCGACTCGTCATCATCTTTGGATGATCGATCACCTCATTCCGCGCCGTTTCGCTTGCACACACTTCCGTTGCCTCTTCTTACTTCTTTGCCAACCGATGACCTCTTTTTAGACTTGAGAGTTTTAGGTTTTCAGCTTAGCTTAGTGTGCACCTGGCATGCAGCAGGAAGAACAGCAGCAACCAGCATGACAAAATGCGCTTTGGCGTGAACCAAGGCCCCGACACACACAGGTTGTCTGGCCACTGGAGCTTGGAAAGTCAGCGCCCGAGATGCAAGTTGACGTGGCGAGGCCCTGCGGGACAAGAGCCAGAAGCCAAAGGCTTGGAATCATGGCCTCAGCTCCCAGATGTCTTTGTGTGTGCGTGTGTGTGCGTGTGTGTGTGCGTGTGTGTGCGTGTGTGTGCGTGTGTGTGCGTGTGTGTGCGTGTGTGTGCGTGTGTGTGCGTGTGCGTGCGTGCGCGTGCGTGCGTGCGCGTGCGTGCGTGCGTGGGTGTGTGTGTGTGTGTGTCTCTCTCTCTGAATATAAACATAAATACAAACATAAATAAATATATAAATATAGATATAGATATAAATATAAATATAAATAGGAATATAAAAAAACATGAATATAAGTATACATACAAGTATATCTATATAGAGAGAAATAAAAGAGAAAGGCATTTAACGGCACGTAATATATATATATATATACAGGTGTATATATATATGTATATATACATAAATGCATATACATGTAAGTATACATCTGTGCACATACACGCACATAGTGCTCACACACACACAGTATATATATATATATATATATATATACATATAAATAAATTTGTACCCATATGTCTAAGTGTTTTGCGGTGCCAGAACGTTGCGCTTTCTTTCTGTGAAGTTCGGGCGTGCAGCTGCATAGGACTGAAATGTGCGCGCTCATCAGAACCAGCTTCTGTAAAAGACTCGCTAAAACCACCCATGTTGGCTCACAGTGGGTTTAGGGTTTAGGGTTTAGGGTTTAGGGTTTAGGGAGCCACAGCACTGCGGGGTTCAGGGCTAAGGGTTGTGCTGAAAGAGGACATGCAAGTTCTTCATGGTTCGGGTTCATAGTTTGTGCAACCGACTTCGAGTGCTTTTAGGATTGAGGGTTTAGGGTTTAGGGTTTAGGATTTCGGGTTTAGGGTGTATAGGGTCCATTGAGTTTACAGGCTTTTAGGTCTTACGCCAAGCTTCGATAGAGCTCGCTGGCCACGTCAGGCCATCTCAAGCGAAGCGCCTTCTATCAGGGAACTGGATACCTCAAACTCCCCCCTACACTTTTCTTTCCCAGATAAGAGCCGCAAGGTTGCGGATTTTGTAGACTCCTTATTCTTGGGCATATTCTGAAGGCATTGCAGAAAGTAACCTTACTAACCTACGCCACTACGCATGCGTTCCCCAACCTGCGTTCTAGGATGATTTCTTGATGATTTCGTGAGTGCTGGCAGGCTACGCGAGGCTACCACCATGCGAGGGTTTAGGGTTTAGGGTTTAGGGTTTAAGGTTTAGGGTTTAGGGGTTTCTGCTCTACAGCAAGTGGCTAGTGGCATCTATTTGGGGGTTCACGAAAAAAAGAGGACCCCCATTTTTGATCCCCAAATAGTAGGATCCCCTCAAAAAAAGGACCCCGAGAATGTACCCCTAATATCGTAAACCCACATTTACGGAGCTTCATGCGCAGGCTGACTATGAATAACCCCCTGACTATGAATAACCCCCTTCTTAATGCACTGAAAGAGATGACATGTTCTGCACAAAGAGAATGCCCACGACAGGTGGGGCAAGCTTTGCGGGTAAGTGAACAAGGGCTGGCACACTGTAGATGAGCACCTTCCTACGAAACCCCAAACCACGCCAGTTAGGGTACCCAAAAAGGGACATTTTTTTTTAGAGAACTGGACCAGCTGATGTTTCCGAGCCAGCGAGCATAGGACATGGCCCCGTGGCCATGGAAAACCCTCCCGGCTTTCAGGGCCCACTACTATTTGCTCAAAGAACCCCCTGTAGACAAAAAAACATTCCTTCAAAGGGCAATGTAGAGACTATATTTTGTGTTTTTTGGGGGGTTTAGGTTTAGGGCTACTTCAGAGGACCAGACAAACTGTATCAGCTTCACCGGGCTTAGGGTCGAAGGTTCTCCCTTGCTGATATTTGGGAGATGCCAACTGTTCTTGGTTGCTGTTTGACCCCTCAATACAAGTTTAACTTTTAGCTCCCTTAATATGACATTAGAGGAACCCTAAACTTATAGAGTGATAAAGCTGTAGTAAAGTCCCACCTAGTGTTTAGGGTTTTGGGTTTGCATTGGCGACCATGTTTGCACACGCCACACAAGTCTGTCCCTGGCCGCCACGCTGCTTTGCGAGATGCAAAGGGAAGTGTAAGCCCAAGACCCTAAACCCTAAACCCTAAACCCTAAACCCTAAACCCTAAACCCTAAACCCTAAACCCTAAGGACTTCCACGCGGGTGGCCTGCTATAGTCCTCGCCTTGGTCTTCCTCAAAACCTCCATTTTTGTAGGTTGTAATAGTAGTACGATTCTTAAAGGCAACCTGCAAAACAGGTCCCCTAAACCCTAAACCCTAAACCCTAAACCCTAAACCCTAAAACCTAAACCCTTTTGGGGCTGTTCATGGTTTGAACAGAAGGGCCCCTTCAGCTGCCATCCACGAAAAAGCCAGTGGAAGCTGCCAGGAATCGGTTTGGGCTCCATTCCCCGGAGGACACAAGAAGTTTAGGGTTTAGGGTTTAGGGTTTGGGGTTAGGGTTTGGGGTTCAGGGTTTAGGGTTTAGGGATGACCCCCTCAATCTACTATTTGGTTCAGAACCACACGAGAGGAAGCATAGACCAGAGGACTCTACTATCTGCGTGGCCTTGCCAGGCAGGATCGCATCAGCCTGCAGCTACATCAGGCGCGGTTGCAACCGATGCTCGAATTCAATGGCAGCACTACCCTCGGCCCTAAAACGGGAAAAAACCAGCTCCGAAGCTTATCCCTGCACGTCTAGCGTCAACATCAAACTCCTATCTGCCAGATATCACGGTACGTCATGGCGACTTCTCTCAGGAGTCCAGGCGCAGAAACGGCGCAAGTTTCTGGAACGCATCTTTGGCACCTGGGATATATCACTTAAACCCTAAACCCTAAATCAGGGCCAGCATGTGGTGACTTTGCCGCTCTCTTTACACTCTTTGCAAAGCCCAAACCCCTAAACTCTGAAGGCGGGTATAAGGGCGGGTAGAGAGGGGGGGTATAAGGGCATGCATAAGGGGGCTACAAGAGCGGGTATAAGGGGGGAATAAGGGGGGTACAAGGGAGTCACTGATGTGTTTGGTTTACAGCAGAGTCTACTCCGACTAGGTCGGAGAGCTGCGATTTCAAACCAAAGCCTGTGGGGAACACTGCAAGCTGTGCAAGCCTGCGTGAGGACCCGAACTGGCAACAAAGACACCAAGAGCAAAAGTGACGACAGTTTCGGATTTGCGAACCCAAATGTACAAAAGCGGCAGCGGGCGGACGCAAACGCTCGGCGGCAGGTCGCATTTGGCGAGCACCAGCGTCCAACAGCGACGACAGTTTCGCATTTCGCGATCACAGAAGCAAACATTGCGACGACGGGGTCGCATTTCGCGAGCACAAAGGCACAAAGCCACGGGAATCGAGCACGCCGAGCACGGGAACAGCCGCGCCAAGGCGAGAGCGCAATTCCTGAACCCTAAACCCTAAACCCTAACCCTAAACCCTAAACCCTAAACCCTAAACCCTGAACACAAGCGTCGAGAAAAAAGGAAGGGTTCGGGCAGCGAGCGACGGCCCACGGCCTCATTGACCGAATACCCCCCCTCATACTCTGAATGTAGGAAGCCCTTCCTGGGACTCTGGTGTAGGGTTTAGGGTTTCGGGATTTAGGGTTTTAGGGTTCAGGGTTTTAGGGTTTTAGGGTTTAGGGGTTTAGGGTTTAGGGTTGAGGGTCTACCTGGGACTCTCTGTACCTATGGCTTAGTAGTAGCTACCCCTCAGGTAGTAGGTATATCTCGTAAAACTGTAGGTAAAGAGACTCCCAGGGGAAGCCCTCATAGAGCTGACGCATGGTTTGGGGAAAGGCTGGCCATCACAACACAAAGCACAGCGGCCCTTAACATCAGAACCCAATACCTTTTTGCATTGTAGGCTATCTAAGAATCCTACATCGGGTTGTATAATAAAGTACAAAAAAGAAGGTTTTGGGTTCTGAGCCCTAAACCCTAAACCCCAAACCCTAAACCCTGACCCCCAACAACCCTAAACCCTAAACCCGAGCCCCGGAGCGTGGGTGGCGGCTCTTGTCCGGGTGGACCAGCAACGCGAGCTGTTTCAAGCCCATCTGCTGGCCTCCGTATATTCTGATAGAACCTTAACTACTTAAGACTCAAGGGTTTAGGGTTGAGGGTTTATAGGGTTTAGGGTTTATAGGGTTTTACAGGGTTATATTCTGATAGAACCTTAACCACCTGGGAGGCTCGCCTACAGTTAAAAGGGTTTAGGGTTTGTAGGGTTTTAGAGTTTATAGGGTTTTCATATTCTGATAGAACCTTTAACCACCTCGAGATCTTAAACTGTTTGAAGGGTTCAGGGTTGAGGGTTTATAGGGTTTAGGGTTTAAGGTTCAGAGGGTATGTTCTGATAGAACCTTATCTACCTGGGACTCTCTTAACCTGCACTTTAAGGGGTTTAGGGTTTATAGGACTTAGGGTTTAGGGTTTGGAGTTTTGTAGGGTCTCATATTCTGATACAACCTTAACTACTTACGACTCTCTTAACCTACTGTTTGAAGGGTTTCGGATTTAGGGTTTATAGGGTTGGGGGTTCAGAGCTTATAGGGTTTAACTGGGAGTCTCTTAACCTACAGTCTAATGGGTTATGCCTACTAAGTAAAGGGTAGCTACTACCAAACTGTAGGTAAATGGAGTCCCAGGTACTATTTGTGTATAGGAGCCTTCCCTCCCCCCCCCCCCACCCCCTCAAAAAAAAGTAATAATAAACATCTATAAGAATATCCTTCAACTTCCTTGTAAGGGAGGCCATCGATTTCAACCACCCGCAAGGAACAACAATTGGGGATCTAGGCAAAGCGGTAATTGGTTGAGGATTGAGGGTTGAGGTGCTGCTTCAGAGCTCGGCGTTTCGTGCTCTGACACAAGCAGCGCGGGTGTCCTCCTGACATTCTTCAGCCTTTCGTGGGCTTTCGGGCTTTTAGGGGAGACAAGCTCGAAACCCCATAAACTCCGCAAACCCGAAACCTTCAACGCCCGCAACCAGGACAACTCCCCCCAAGGCCAGGCCTCGAAAATCTGCGAGCATTGCACGTAGGCCCCCCGGAGTTTTTGGTATCCTGACCTCGCGTATCGCCGAAACCCTTGCGATATCCTTGGGGTCCAAAACCCCCCTATAAGGGCAACATCGGGATCTTCATCTTTTTTTGGGGGGGTGCTGAAGCAAGTAGCAGAAAAAGGGTCATCTACCTGAACCGGGACGACGGCAGAATAAGGTATATATGACCCCAATTCTAGGGTTCATTGTCCACACCCCTCCCTTCGTACCCCCCAGAAGTGTCCTTCTGCTCTTGCTTGCCTTGTGGGCCTGCAGGGGCAAACGAGTGCAATGTCCAGCTTTGGGGGTTCAGGCACGTT